CCCCTCCAGCTTTCTTAAGCAGGTCAGCAGAAGAGCTTATTTATATCCCACCTTTTCCCTCAAGGACTACATGGTTCACCCACCCCCCCGTTAATCCCTACGGCGACCCTGTGAGGTAGGTTATGTGACTGCAACTGACTCCAAGGTCACCTCGTGGGTTTCATGACGGAGTGGGGATTTGAACCCTGATGTCCCACTTCCTAGTCTGACCCTCTAATCCAGCCTTTCTCAACCCGTGGGTCGCCAGATGTTGTTGGACTACAACTCCCATCATGCCTAGCTAGCAAGGCCAGAGCTCAGGGATGATGGGAGTTGTAGTCCAACAACATCTGGGGACCCACAGGTTGAGAACCACTGCCCCCCACTGGCTTCTTAAGAGGATTTCTGCTATGGAGCAGCTCTATAAAGTCAGTAAATAAGTATGAGGAAAAGCAAAATGTCACATAGGAAAAGATCTGAAATATTTCCCATGAAGGTTGAATTTTATTCTGGATTTGTTTTATTTGCTGTGTTGCAAACAGCTTTGAGATTATCCCCCTTTAAAATATAAAGCAGTATAGAAAGGAAATGAACAATAATAATAATTTCTGCAGCAAAAAAAAGGCACCTAAACATTCTGTTGTGGTGACCACAATGTAAGTTTTGAAGTGCCATTTGGCGATTAGCTTATATATCTGATTTTCTACCTAGAAGGAGCAATCTATGATGCCTCTAAGCTCAGCGTTCAAACCACAATGACTTGGAAAGGAGTCAGATTGTGGTTGTTTCAATGGACAGCTTCTAGTTTTACCGTATGGGAAGGAGAGATAAATAAACACGCTGCAACACAGAGTCTCATACAAAACAGTGAAGCCTTTTTATTTTTTAAATTTTCCTTTGTTGTTGCGGTTGGAGGCAAGGACAGCCTTATTACACTTTTAAGGAAACCTCTCACAACTAAAAAAAAAGTGAATACTTTAAAAAAGGCATTGACAGTTTTACACAGGACTTGAGCAGAAAAAACAGACAAGTTTTCACTTACTTTATTTTTTTAATAATTCTTCTTCTTTTAAAAAAAGGTTATAAAGTGTCTGGACCTCGTTGGCATCTGCCAAAGTGATGCTTGCCCGATATAAAAGCACTGGGTATAATAGTAAAAACCAACAATAATAATTTAGCTATGGCTCAGAGGAAAAACGAACAAACCAACAAATACCCCAAGTAACTGGTCTCCGTCTACAACAGCCTCCTCCAACTTGGCGCTCTCTCCATGTTCTGAACTACAACTCCCAGAAGCCTCAGCCAGCTGAGGGCAGGGCTGATGGGAGTGGCAGGACGTCGAATTAGGGAAGGCAGGCCTATGAACTAATGGCGCACCGAGTTTTTAAAAAAGGGAGACATGTAAAATCCCACTGCTGAAGGAATCAGAAGGATCGTCCGGTGTATCTTTGGGAAAACACATTTCAAAAAGAAACAGGGTGGGTTGGGAAAATTCAGACACACATCCCAGAACACTAAAATATTGAAGCCAGGCGTACCAGTCTGGAAACGTGCGCCCTCAAGCAGGGATTAGAAGCTGCCCTCAATTAAAACATTATCCTTTCACCAGCGATTTCACCAAGGTTTAATTCGCTTTCCAGATCCAAGTGGGAGCTGTTTCTTCGTGAAGTCTTCCCACATTGGACTGGGAGCATTGGTGTGCCAGGAACGCTCTGCGTCGGGACCAACTGCATGGCTGTCCCCCACTTGCTTGGCCACTTGGGGTCGGGCGATGCTCAAGCTAGGACGCCACCCTGTCACCTCGATAGCGCAAGAGCAGTGTTGGAAGAAGCCGGCGGAATTTAAGGCGCCCCCAGACCACTGGAAGATTAAACGGGGTGTGAGGTCGATGTGGTGGCAGCCGTTCCAATTTCCTTCCTGCCAGGTGTGTTCCCTTCGTCCCCTCTTTTCCCAAAAGGCTCTTTCGATGCCCCGAAAGATGCCATCGGGGAGGGCTCGCTCGCCCCCACCGTGCTGCACATTCGATGCAATCAATTGCTTTCTGGTGGGAAAAACTTGCGCATGGGGAAACGTTGGGGAAACTGTACGCCCATCACTTCCGGGATGTTACATCGAAGGTGCAACAAAGGAGGGCCTGAGGAATTCTCTGGCTGCCTTGGGGTGGAATGCATAGCTGTCAACATTTCCCTTATCTTGCAAGGAAGCCTATTCGGAATAAGGGAATTTGCCTTTTTTAAAAAAGGGAAATGTTGACAGCTATGGTGGAATGAGCTTAAGAGTTATGCTGGAAGCCCCCTTTCTCCCCTGGAACCATAAAACATCATTTCATTGCAACGTTTGCATCAGCAGTTGGGAATCCCCGCTCCGAAAAAACATTATCGTCGTTTTTAATAATTAAAAAAACCACACACACACATCATTTAAATTCACATTCCTGGACATTGTAATGAGCCATATCATACCAGAGCCAAGAGGGCGTTTCAAATCCCCACTCTAGGCTGCGATGCAGTGCACAGCGCCTTGAGATCTGCGGGGGAACATGATCACTTTTGCTTTACAACAGCTGGGAGAGAAAAATCGCCTCTCCCAATACCACACACACAAAAACCACAAGAGGCATTGCAAATTTATATATATATGTTTTCCCCCGCCTCCCTGCTAGAGGATACACGCAAGCTTTCGTTTTTTTTAATTTGAATTCAAGATTTCCACACTATAAGGCTATTAAGAATGCTGGTATGTCCGTGTCTGGCTAAGCCAGCGCTCTGAAGTAAGGGCTGAAGACATTTTATGTGCTATGATTTTTTTAAATTTTATTTTTCTAAAAAGAGATCTATGGGGATTTTTTTTTTAAAAAAGGCGCACATTTGAGGGAAAGAACGGCGCTTTTCGGAAAGGATCTTCTTAAAAAAAGTTGGCGCTTGTGCCCTTTTAAAGAACATTCTTGATGCAGCAGGTAGATAAAAATAACTTTTTCCTGCCTGTGCTGACCACTGCTCTCCAACCACCCCCTGCAAGCTTATGGTCAGCACAAATGGTGGTCACTTTTAATCTGAGGGAGTGCACTGTGTTCCCCAGACACTAATCTTGGGCTCTGGAGCAAGCTGAGTGGCCAGACTCTATCGTAAAGATGGCATCTCCAGGCTATGAGGTTTCACCACAATTGGGCACATTATGTGCTGATGGCAGAAGGTTGCTGACTAGGGGCCAAAGTGAGGAATGTGCTTCCTGAAGGATCCCCTCAACCTGGAGGCTGGCAGTGAAATATATAAACAGGCCCAATACTTCTCTTCTTGGAAGTGACAACTACAAGCAACATTTAAAAAATTAAAAAATAAAACTAAAACCGGGAGGGTCAGGATAAAGTTGTGTTGGCGTGATCACCTCTTTCTGAGACAGGCATCCCTGTCCTAATTTGCACCACTTGAGTCTGAGGGAAGAGGAAATCCAATTATTTGAATGTTTCACATGGGAGGCAGGATGGGGAGGGAATCCCAGCAGCCCACATAAAAGCCATATGCCAGAAGAGGCATGTGGGCTGAGTCTTCCTTCTCCCTGACATGCTAGCTGTCTACATGCAAGGAGCCCGTGCGTGAAAGCTTCCGCACAACAGTCTCTCTGCCTGCAGCCTGAAATCCTGGGGAAATGGTGCAATCCTGCTTCTGCCACAAGAGTTAGCCCAAATTTGGGCGCAGGCGCAAAATTAGGCCATGCGTATTTTGTGCTGCGATCTGCTTGAGTACACCCTAGTCAGCAAGGCTTTCCCCCCATAAATCTCATCCCCCCCCCCCAATTTGGTAGAAGCTCACCCAAAGCAGCTGCCTGCCTCCCCCCCCCAACTGTTCCCTCCACCAAGTCACGCCTTTGCAGGCTGAACAATTCCCACCCATCCTCCATCCCATAACCTGCTGGCTGCACACTTGAGCTCTCAGCACAGGAAATCGCTCCCACCCACGCATGGAAGCTGTCAAGAGGACTGCACATTTATCGTCAACCGGAAGAAAGCTTTCCGGGCCAAGGGAGACGACCTTAAAAGTTTAAAAAGCAAAATGCTGAACTTTTTTGCTTGAAGGTATTGAAAACACAACCGAAACTTTTGCTACACAAACAAGAGGAAAGCAGTAGCTGTGGAGTCTCTGTGGGCTGCGCATCTCAGATCGGGGCATGTTCACCTTTAGAGCACTAATAATACCAAGGCTTACAGAGGCAGAGCGAGTCTCAGCGCACGTTTGCCAAAAGCAAAGATCCTCGATTTGCTCATGGGGACTTTAATTCATCTATTTCCGACAGGGATTACCACTTTGGCCAGGGCGTTCTGCATGCAGATGGAATGTGTGCACCTGCAACCAGCTGCACGCCGGCGATTAACGTTGCATGCCATTCCCAAGCGCCAGAAAAGGAGGAGAGCACACAAAACATAGCTATGCACCCAGAACTCCCATTTTTGCTAGCAAAACAAAAAAAGCAAGTTTCAGGATCTCATGACTTTTGAGCTGCTGAAGATTTTCATAATTTGGAAGTGGGGCTTCAGTAGCCAAGCTGCAAAATAGGACTAGGGAAACCAGAATGAGGCAAGAGGGGCAGAATTATTATTCCTCACCCCCCCCCCCCGCAATCCCCTGATTTCTTGACCCATAATGCATTGGGGGTAGAATTGTTACCATTGTTTTTTTGCACTGAGGGGCACATAGGCTTAGTCCTCTTTCAGGGAAGAGGCGGTGAGCAACTCCCTAGAACAGCCATTTCCCTGCTAAAGGGGGGGGGGGTTTGGGGGCTGTGATTTCTGCATAGCTTCGGTATAGGACCAGCCGCTGCTGCTATGCTCACACAGCAAATCTGCAAGCACCCAGGCGGCAACGGCGTGATTTAGCTCCGCAAAGACTAAATCACCAGAAATAACTTGTGCGTTTAATAGCAATTAAAAAACGTTAAGCATCAAAACTGAAGGTGTGGCTTGGGGGCTCTTGACAAGGGCAAAACTGCAGCACGGAAAATGGGTTTTAAAGCTTCCGGTAACCTCCTCACAACCTGTGAAGAGTCAGAGGAGAATTTATTAGCCTGCCTTCTCCTGGGTCCAGCTTCCTCTGTCTCTTAAAACTGGACCCACAAGGTCCGGGGATCTCCCTGGGTGCCAAAATTACATTGCATGCTCATTTATTCTTCTCCCACGAAGTGGGATCTCCTCGTAAACGTCCCGCGACCGCAGGAATAGCTGCAAGGGGCAGGAGTGGTTCCTTTCCCCTGGCCTGATCTCTTAAGGCCTAGGGCGGAGACAGGAATAAATTGTGCAGTCCTCCATGTTCAAATCAGATGTCGTTCCATGCATGAAACAGCTGTCTGTCTCACGCCTCTTCCCAGTTCCTGAGCCCAATGCCAAACATTCCTGAAGCCCTCTGTTCTCAGACCAAAAACCATTTTTTACTGGCTACCTGCCTCCCCTGACCTCGCTCCTGTCTCTCGTGCAGGTAAGCCAAACCTTTGCCAATGAGCTACAACCCTAGGATGCCCTTGCAAGCAGAGGCAAGGATGGGAATCGGATGATTTAAACGTGAAGGGATCAACTTCTGATCACACACACACACAGAGGAATCGTAGCACCTGGGAGACGGAATCTCACAAGGTAGAACTACAATGCCTTTGGCAGAGAGCCTGTTTGCTTTTCTGATGTGCATTGCAGAGAAATTTCCCTGCACCTTTTCCAAATGGAGTGAGGAAACCCCCTTCATGGGGTTAGATCAAAGATCACAGCAGATCACTCAAGAAGACCACAGGACCACCTTGCAAGAAAGACTACCTTGCAAGAAGATGGCAACTAACCCATCACGCCATTACCCAACCGATGCCATCCCTCTGGCCAAAGCCAACTTTCCACCTGGGCTCCAGAAGGCCTGGCAAAACCTGCGGTGCCCACCAAGTCAATCTGAGACCACCACCCCCAGCAGAAAGGGGGGGCAGTGGCAGGGTGGCACTGCCAAAAGAGCTTTTGGCTTGGTGCGTCGGAAGCCACGCTGGCATCAGAGAGAGCTGAGGCAGTGGCAAGCGATTTGAGCTGCAAGAAGAAAGCAATCCCACTCGGCCCCTGCTGGGACCTGCCCCTGCCTGGAAAGGAGGTGTTTTTGGGGGGGGCATGGAAGAGGAGCTGTGGTGGTCCCAGATAGATACACCCCAGCACCAAGGAACAGAAGCACAATTGCATTGTGGTGTGCCATCGTTGCACTTGGCGAGTGTTCTGTAAGGAGAGGGGGACAGGGGGAAAAACGACAACATAATTTCTAGTTTTTTTGTGGGGCGGGGGGGAATGGACTCAGCCACCTTCCCCCCTAGGCTCAGATCCCAGCGCTGCCGGATTTGGCGGCGCTGAACAAGGGGAATCCTGCCCAGTGGGGAAGGTTGCCGCCTGGGACTTCAGAGGTCAAGCCCTGTGTTTGCGGAGTTTGTGTGTGTGTGTTTTGGCAAAAGGCTATTACTGAGGTTACATGATGCAGCATTTGTTCTTGTGGTTTTGTGGGTCTCTGAAGCGCAGCCGCTGTTTGGGGCGATACTTCTCCAGGTACGTCAGCTGCTTGCTGTTGATGGCTCCGCGGCGCTTCCTGGCAAGGCGACAGAGAGAGAAGGGAGGGGATAGAAAAATCAAAGCTTTGGTGTGCTGATCAAAAACACCTTGCAAGCGTTGAACACACACACACACGGCTTCTTGACCCCAAGTAAAACCTTCCCTGAGGTCCTGCCTGCCAAGAGACCATCGCATGCCGCAAGAAAAAGCTATCTTTGCCAGCCCCAGTTAGGTGCTTCCAAGGCCGCGCAGCAGCAAAACTCTTTTTCTTCTGCAGAGTCGGGGGAAAGGGCTGCAGGCTGGTCAGAGCAGCCCCAGCTGCGCCCTCAAGTCCAGATGCGGGAGGGTGGGGCTTATAATCATAATAATGATAATAATAAAAATAAATTTTATTTATACCCCGCCCTCCCGGGCTCAGGGCAGCTGACACCAATAAAATCACAGTAAAAAAACATGATAGGGGGAAAAGAAAAAGAAAAACCATTCAAAATACAGGTTAAAATGCAATTTAAAATGCAGCCTCATTTTAAAAGTAGCCGATAAATCAGGACTGTAAGGGGAGGGAAACATAAGGGTCAGACTGAGTCCAAACCAAAGGCCAGGTGGAACAGCTCTGTCTTGCAGGCCCTGCGGAAAGATGTCAAGTCCCGCAGGGCCCTAGTCTCTTGTGGCAGAGCGTTCCACCAAGTTGGGGCCAGTACTGAAAAGGCCCTGGCCCTAGTTGAGACCAATCTAACCGCCTTGCGACCTCCAAAATGTTATCATTTGTGGACCTTAAGGTCCTCCGCGGGGCATACCAGGAGAGGTGGTCCCATAGGTACAAGGGTCCCAGGCCGCATAGGGCTTTAAAGGTCAAAACCAGCACCTTAAACCTGACGCTGTACTCCACTGGGAGCCAGTGCAGTTGGTAAAGCACTGGATGAATGTGATTCCGCAGCAATACGAGATGTTTCCGGCCGTTCAGCCCCCTCCCCAAGGTCCTTGCTCTGCCAAGAGCACGAGGGAGAGACTGAAGGAAAAATCCCTGTTCCGTGGCCTTAGCAGAACACGCTAAGGAGATTAGAGGACGGATTGAGAGCAGGACGCTCGGCTCCAGCTCGTAAGCAGAGCTGGTGGCGACGAAGGGCTCACACAGCTATTACAGTTGCAAGCCAGGAGATGCGGCCAGATGGACCGTAATCCTCGCCGGATCCGGCCGGACAGTTTTCACTGGATTCCCCTCCCCCCCCAAGGTTCATTTTAGTTCTTCCTTAACCCCAGATGACTTTCTGGCAGGGCAAACGCCCCGCTCCCCAAGAATAACCCCCCTGAAAGCGAGAGGCAGGGTGGGTGGGTGTGCCATGCGACAGCAACGGGCTGCACCTCGGAGGGAGATCAGTTGCTTGGCATGCAGAAGGCTCCAGGTTAAACCTCCCAACGGCATCGGTTAGTGCAGAATCCTGCAGCGTCCCTCGTCACGGGATCGAAACATCCCTGACTCAGAATGACTGGTCCTCAGTAGATTGGCACAGCTCTCTCTTTAGGTACTGCTTCTGCTAGCGACGAGGGAATTGGGGAAGGGTTGTGGCTCAGCCGGAGGGCGTCTGCTCAGCATGCAGAAGGCTGAGGGTTCATTCCCCCAAGGGCGTCTCTGGGTGCAGCTGGAAAAGACTTCCTGCCTGAAACCCTCGAGAGATGCTGCCAGTCAGTGTAGGCAGCACTAAACTAGAGAATACCAATGGCTTGGCCTGTATAACACAGCTTCCTGTATCGCTGCGACGGTGTCACTGTTACAGGATTACAGGAATCCTCTTGCATCTTTGCATGGGAAAAGTTAGCCTCTCAGGGAGAACAAGGCTAAGCTAAATCCTTCTTCTTGATATGCTAGGACCCTTGACCATTAGGTCCAGTCGTGGACGACTCGGGTTGCGGCGCTCATCTAGCTTTACTGGTCGAGGGAGCCGGCGTACAGCTTCCGGGTCATGTGGCCAGCAGGACTAAGCCGCTTCTGGCGAACCAGAGCAGCGCACGGAAACACCCTTTACCTTCCAGCTGGAGCGGTACCTATTTATCTATTTGAACTTTGACGTGCTTTCAAACTAATAGGTTGGCAGGAGCAGGGACCGAGCAACGGGAGCTCATCCCGTCACGGGGATTCGAACTGCCGACCTTTTAATCGGCATGTCCTAGGCTCTATGGTTTAACCCAACAGCGCCATCCACGTCCCTCTTGATAGGCTAGCTTTCTCCATTTAGGGTTTCTGCTGCCGTAGGAAGGGAAATTAGATGTGGGACACTGCTTAGGACTACGAAGTGGTACAGCCACCACTATGACTCCAGCAGAGTAGAATGATAGAATCTTAAGAGTGGGAAGGGGCGCCGAGGTCATCCAGCCCAACCCAGCCCTGCAATTGAGGAATCTCAGCTAAAGCATCCCCGACAGATGGCCATCCAACCCCTGCTTAAAAACCTCCAAGGAAGGAGAGTCCACCACCTCCTGAGGGAGACTATTCCATTGCTGAACAGAACCCTACTGTCAGAAAGTTCTTCCAGATGTTTAGCACCAGGACCAAAACTGAGATCATCGTCAGGTGTGCCGAGAGTCGAGTTGTTGAGGACAGGAAGAGAAAGCCGAGTGGCATGTCATAATAAAAGCCTGCCCCTTAAAGTCAGTCCACTTACAAACCAAGCAGTATTTCTACCCATTACCTTGATCAACTATGGAAGACCGAGGCTGGGGTCCAAAAGCTGCGTCTCGAGACGCGGGAGTGCCCAGAAGCATTTTACTAAATGTTTTTCAAAGTCCCCTCCGTAGCAGAAGAGCAATTTTGGGGAGGGCGGGGGGAAAGACTGATGTTTAAATTTCCATGGGCCTTGGAGCCTGGCCATAAACAAACAGATTTGCCTGTGTAAATTTGTAGGTCAGGTTCCGATTCATTCAGCTAAACCGAAATAAAGAGTTCATGAGAAGCGGGGAACACTTGCCCCAGCCTTCTCTTACGAGTCTGCACCTGATCGGCTTTCCGGGTGGAGCGCACCCATGCCAGTGAGCCGCACGCTTGCATTTTTGGTGCGTTCGTTAGGCCGAACGACCTCTGCCTTTCCGTAAGCAACCCCCGACTCCTCTCTCCACAAGTATCAAGCCAGTCTAGGAACGCCGGGCCATTAATCTGGATCTTAGCAGGCGGCTCAGAGGCACTTACTGTCTAATAAACTGAATGGCATCTTCGTATTTCATTCCGCTCTCAATCAGCGCCAGCGCAACAAGAACCGGAGCTCTGGTTTAAAAGAGAGAGAGAGAAGATTAAACCATCACACTAGGAAGAAGAAACAGAGTTCAACTAGAGAAAAACGGCTGGCATTTTTATTTTTGCAGGGGGAAGGAGGAGGAAAAAGGCACAGGACTTCATTCACAGCTTCAGTAAACATAATTAAGCACGCCCCCTTCCCGACTTGAGCATTTAGATATTTACAGCTGGTTAGAGCCCTGGTTAAAGTGGGTGGCGCTGTGGGTTAAACCACAGAGTCTAGGGCTTGCCGTCCAGAAGGTCAGCGGTTCAAATTCCCGAATTCTGGTTTGCCAGAAGCGGCTTAGTCATCCTGGCCACATGACCCGGAAGCTATACGCCGGCTCCCTCGGCCAATAAAGCGAGATGAGTGCCACAACCCCAGAGTCAGTCACGACTGGACCTAATGGTTAGGGGTCCCTTTCCCTTTACCTTAAAGCCCTGCACAGGCCGTTGTCACTCTCCCTATAAGCCTAGCTGGTTGTCTCTTTGGTATTTTGTGCTATGCTTGCACCTCACACTTTTTAATCCAGGGGTGGGGAACCAGAGACCTGGGTGTGTGTAATAAATAATAAGAATAAGAATATTATTTATACCCCACCCATCTGGCTGGGTTTCCCCAGCCACTCTGGGTGGTTTCCAACCAAGTATTAAAATACAATAGTCTATTAAACATTAAGAGCTTCCCTAAACAGGGCTGCATTCAGATGTCGTCTAAAAGTGTGGTAGTTGTTGTTCTCTTTGACATCTGGTGGGAGGGCGTTTTACAGGGCAGGTGCCACTGAGGTCCAGCTCCGAGGGCCTTCTGGCGGTTCCCTCCCTGCGAGAAGTGAGGTTACAGGGAACCAGGCAGAGGGCCTTCTCGGTGGTGGCACCCGCCCTGTGGAACGCCCTCCCATCAGATGTCAAGGAAATAAACAACTATCTGACTTTTAGAAGACATCTGAAGGCAATCCTGTTTAGGGACGTTTTTAATGTTTGATGTCTTATGGTCTTTTTAATATTCTGTTGGCAGCCTCCCAGAGTGGCTGGGGAATGAATAAATTATTATATTATTATTACTACAGTCATACCTCATGTTGCGTTTGCTTCAGGTTGAGCGTTTTCAGGTTGCGTCCCACAGCGACCTGGAAAGGGTCAATTCCAGGTTTCGCCCCTCACGCATGCACTCAAAATGACGTCACGCGCATGCGCAGGAGCGGCAAATCGCGAACCACGAAGACGTGGGTTGCGTTCTGCTCATTTGCAAACAGGGCTCCAGAATGGATCCCGTTCGCAACCAGAGGTACCACTGTATTATTATTATTATTATTATTATTATTATTATTATTCAATTACTTCCCTTGATCTAGTCCTGTGTTTCCAAAACTTGGGTCTCCAGCTGTAGTTGGACTACAACTCCCATCATCCCTGACCACGGGCCCTGCTAGCTAGGGATGAAGGAAGTTGTAGTCCCAAAAAAGACCCAAGTTTGAGAAATCTAGTCTGACCCCTTGAAATGCAGGACTCTTCTGCCCAATGCTTGAACCCAGGACACTGAGATGAAGAGCCTCATGCTTTCCCAACAGAAGAATGGCCTGACTTCGACTGAGGGGAGCTCCATATAGTCCCAGGCTCCTTTGAGAGCGCGGCGCTCCGGCTTACCGTCCCAGACCAGCCACGCAATGGACAGCCACGCAGCAGCCGGGGTCTTCGCAGAACTTGGTCTTCAGCAGGTTCAGCCAGTCGTCCACAATCTTGGTGGGTGGCGGAGCGCCGTCGTCAAAGGGCCAGTCCTGGAGGAGAGGGGGCACAAAGAGAGATAGAGAGAGGTTTATTTACCTCTTTTTTTAACGCTTTATGGAGATTAAAAAGAAGTAACAAACATAAGGGTTAATCAGGAAAAAGAAAAGAAAGTACCGTATTTTTCGCTCCATAAGACGCACTTTTCTCTTCCTAAAAAGTAAGGGGAAATGTCTGTGCGTCTTATGGAGCAAATGCATGCTCCCTGGAGCCAAACTGCCCAGGGGCGAAAAGCAGATCATGGAATGGTGCAAAAACATGATTACAAAGCACGGATCCACATGAATTCTCAGGATTTTTGCATTGGGCTATCCCAAACTCACTGTCAAATCACATGTCTGTGGCCACAGCATGAACCACAAAAATCATACATCCACTGTTTCGTTCCGAATTTTTTTTTCTTGTTTTCCCCCTCTAAAAACTAGTTGCGTGTTATAGTCAGGTGCGTCTTATGGAGCGAAAAATACAGTAATAATATTTGTTGCGTCACATCACTGTACATTCTTCTTCAGTTTCTAACAATTTCCCATCACCCCATTGTGTATTTACCGCTTTATCTAGCGCACAATTAATTTTCATTTTCGTTTTTAAAATTTTCATCAGTGTTATGTTCTCTTATGATTGATCGTCCTGCCACAGAAGTTATTCAAAGTCCTGCCACTGGCGTGATGTTATTACAATATTCAATAAGGTATTTTTTTTGTACATTTCCTATTTCCTAATAAATGTTTGATCAGTATGATCTCTCAGTTTTTCTGTCATTTTTGCCAACTGGGCGTACTCCAACAAATTTTGCCACTCCACCTTTTTGGAGTTTTCTCTCCTTTCCAATTTGTGGCGATTAGTATTCTTGCAGCTACTGTAGCGTACAAGAATATTTCTCTCGCATTTATAGGTATATCTGGACCTAGTATCCCCAGGAGAAATTCCTGCGTTTTTTTGTTTTTTTAAATGAAGGATACCTTAATCATTCTTTTAAGTTCATTATAAATTACATTCCAAGAGTCCTTAATTTTCTTACAAGTTTATTCTCAGAATTACTCTAAGCGCACTAATGAGATTGATACTGATGAACTGGAAGAACAGAGATACAATTCCCCTTAATCAATGGCTTGGGAACCTAACAACATGTGAACATAACAATATATGCATGGGCTGTTTTTTTTACAAGCAATTTATTGATTTTATATGTATATATCTAAAAAAATCATAAACACATTTTAAAACCATAACGTTTGGCTTGACTTCCCTCCCCTCCCCTTGGTTCCATTATTTTAGACTTGTTCATGCACGTCTATAACACCTTATATTTTTAATAATCCATTTTTAAAACCTTCTTCATCTTATAAGTGACCTTAAAAAGTTATACACAAAGCTTAAAAAGTATGCATTAAACCAGCGGTTCTCAACCTGTGGGTCCCCAGATGTTGTTGGACTACAACTCCCATCACCCCTGAGCTCTGGCCTTGCTAGCCAGGGATGATGGGAGTTGTAGTTCAACAACATCTGAGGACCCACAGGTTGAGAAAGGCTGCATTAAAACATTTGCCATTTTTATAAACTCAAAGTTGAACATAACAATATATGAACAGGCTGCTTATAGACGCTAGGCCTGGGAGATATATCAGTAAATAGTCTCAAATTGGTTTGAAGTCCATATTGTGATATTGGTTCCATAATTTCTGACCTTGCAATAAATCACAAATCCTGATGCGTGTGTTTCATGTGCTACGCAAAAAAACACAACGTAGGAAAAAACTGTGCAGCCAGCCAATGCATAGCTCCATCCTTATTTCAGACATCGTGATATATCAGTACATCACAATGTTTAGCTGGCGATATATCGCAATGTTGAAAAACAGATATCGCCTAACCCTAATAGACGCAGACTTCCTTTGGATAAATACAATGATATTTGGAGTGAGTTTTACAGAAACTATATTAGGTTATTGAGAACTATATGTGTATTAAGGGCAGAGCATAAAATAATAATAATCTGAAGGCAACCCTGCTTAGGGAAGTTTTTAATGTTTGATGTTTTATCGTGTTTGTAATATTCTGTTGGAAACCACCCAGAGTGGCTGGGGAAACCCAGTCAGATGGGTGTGGTATAAATATTATTATTATTATTATTATTATTATTATTATTATTACTACTACTACTACTACTACTATTACTATCATACCTCATGTTACATTTGCTTCATGTTACGTTTTTTCAGGTTGCGTCCCACAGCGACCCGGAAGTACTGGAAAGGATTACTTCCGGGTTTCGCCGCTCGCACGTGCGCAGATGCGCCAAATCACGCCACGCACCTGCGCAGATACGGCGCTTCAGGTTGTGGGCTTTTCATGTTGCAAACGGGCCTCCGGAACGGATCCCATCCGCAACCAGAGGTACTATTGTATTCCATAATAATTTATAGAACCGTAACTTTTTATTCTCTTTTCCATTCTCACTTTTCCGTTCTTCTTTGTCACTCTATCTTTTCATAAATAAAATTCTTCCAATGAAATATATTTTTTTGAAAAGCTTTACTCTCATTCAGTGCAGACAAAACTGATCTAGACGGGACGTAGGCCTGACTTGATATATAACACACCGTTCTGGGCTGCTAGGTTCTATGTGGCATGGGATAAATCCATCTGGATTTCCCTGTGCAACCGTGTTGGGATCATCCACGAGTTCCGCAGCTGACAAAAGGATTGATTGATTCCACCCCTTTGCAAACAAGAGCACGCAGGCACACGAAAAACCTTCTGCACCATAAACGGCCGCCTGTTTTCGAACGAACGAAGACAGGCTTGGATAGGAAAGGGAACAGGGAGAGAGGGGGGCCAGTCAAGCCTGGAAAAGGCCTTCCCCCCTGGGGCTGGCGATAAATCCACTGGTTGTGCGTAATCGGCGAGGCACCGACCCAAGGAGGAGGTTTCACAGATGCGGCTCGTAAATAGTTCATTTCTAGGACGTGGAGCTGTCTTCTCTCCCGGCTACGGAGACCTGGAACGCAGGCTGGGCCTTTGCTATTAGGATCAGCCTTGCAGCAGAGCCCGTTTTGCAAAAACGAGAAAGGAAAGCCTGTCAGCAACACCCCTCCCAAAAGCAAGACTGGCACCCCCAAAGAGGGATGCAGAGAAAAGGAAAAGACAGACTCTGGGTGATCTGATTTTCATCTTGCAAACAGGCTCTCTCTCTCTTCTTTGCATAGAGAAAAAATGTTTGCAAGCTGGCCGGTGTCCAGGAGCAGCTCTCGACAAGCTGCCCATTTAGAAGGGGTTTGGGGTTAGGTGGGGGGGAAGAGAGAGACAGAGAGAGAGGAGTTTCACCAACCAAGCCTCTGCAAATCCTTTCCAAGGACCGGGCGGGTCGGGGAGGAAAAGGGCCATGCAAGGTAAATAGGACAGGCAGTTTTCAGGCTCCCGGCCGCAAAACGCGATGTGAGGCCGATAAGGAGGAAACCACAATGTCGCCTTGTTCGACGTGAAACGAGAACCATGCGGGGACGTAATCAACGGCACCCGCACAAAGCAGAAACAGATTCGGGCGCATGAAAGCCCCCTTTTGTTTCGTCTCTTAAGAGAGAAGGAATAATAATAATAATAATAAATTTTTATTTATATCCCGCCTTCCCCAGCCAAAGCCGGGCTCAGAGCAGCTAACAACAATATAAGTAACACAGCATTCTAAAATCAATTCATTTTAAAATCAGTTCAAAGCAAATTAATGGCAACCACTGGGCTAGAGTTCTGTGAGGAGGGGGTCAGACTGTGCCTTGGCCAAAGGCCAGGCGGAACAGCTCTGTCTTGCAGGCCCTGCGGAAAGATGTCAAGTCCCGCAGGGCCCTGGTCTCTTGTGACAGAGCGTTCCACCAAGTCGGGGCCAGCACTGAAAAGGCCCTGGCTCTGGTTGAGGCCAGCCTAACCTCCCTGTGGCCCGGGACCTCCAAGATGCTTTTGTTTGAAGACTGTAAGGTCCTCCGTAAGACATACTAGGAGAGGCGGTCCCGTAGGTACGAGGGTCCTAGGCCTGATAGGGCTGGTTAAAACCAGCACCTTAAACCTGATCCTGTACTCCACCGGGAGCCAGTGCAGCTGGTATAGCACCGGGTGAATGTGATCCCGCGGCGAGGACCCCGTAAGGAGTCTTGCCACAGCATTCTGCACCCGCTGGAATTTCTGGGTCAGTCTCAAGGGCAGCCCCACGTAGAGCGAGTTACAATAATCAAGAGGAGAAAAACGACAAGGAGGCAGGATGTTGAGAACGTGTGTCCAGTGAGAGTGAAACAGCTCCACGCGTCCAAAATTGAGTGCTGGATGCCGGACTTTAAAATTTCAGCAGTGCCCAGTGTGACGCCAAAACTGAGTGCCTCCCCCTTGCCTTTCATTGTCTGCCATTGTTGGGGCACCCAGGGCAGGAAAAGCAGTCATGCACCCCTGTATCTGCCTCTGCCAAAATTTCACTTGCCGTTTGTTTATTACATTTACATATCACCGTTTTACCATAAAGAAGGCTGATCACTGAAGAATTGATGCTTTTGAATTCTGGTGCTGGAGGAGACTCTTGAGAGTCCCATGGACTGCAAGAAGATCAAACCTCTCCATTCTTAAGGAAATCAGCCCTGAGTGCTCACTGGAAGGACAGATCCTGAAGCTGAAGCTCCAATACTGGCCACCTCATGAGAAGAGAAGACTCCCTGGAAAAGACCCTGATGTTGGGAAAGATGGAGGGTACAAGGAGAAGGGGACGACAGAGGACGAGATGGTTGGACAGTGTTCTCGAAGCTACCAGCATGAGTTTGACCAAACTGCGGGAGGCAGTGGAAGACAGGAGTGCCTGGCGTGCTCTGGTCCAGGGGGTCACGAAGAGTCGGACATGACTAAACAACAACAACAACAACATCACCGTTTTCTTCCAAGGAGCCTAAGGTGTTACAGCTGGCTCCCCTCCCCCCAAAAATTCATCCTCACAACACCCCTGCAAAAACTCTCAACTCTCCCTCCCAACTCTTACGAATAACAGCAACAACGTACGCACCAGCGTCACAACAATGATATACACACAACACAACTCATCGGCTGCAACCGAATGCTATTTTCAAGCCTAATTTCAGCGGGGGGGGGGGGGGAGAGGGTTGGCAGAGGGTGTGACGATGCAAATGAAACGAAGAGGAAAATAGTGGGGTTAAGTTATTCCTCCATCCTCTCGCCACCCCAACATTTCGTGCCCCTGGGAAACAGTGCCAGAAACTCAGATACGCAAGCTTTTTGCCAAATGGCACCTGAAACCTAGGTTATGGTCGCTACAACCAAATGTCTAGGCCCAATTTTTTCCCTTGTGGGATTTATCACCATCATCACTATTCATTTCATTTCTATAGTGGTTTATATTTTAAAGGGGGAAAAAATCTGAAAGCGGTTTTCAACACATTAAAACTTCAAATACAGTGGACGCTCGGGTTCCAAACGTGATCTGTGTGGGAGGCTCATTTGCAACCCGCGTGTCTGCGCATGCGTGGGTCGCAATTCGGCGCTTCTGCGCATGTGCCGAAACCAGGAAGTAACTGTTCCCGGAATTGCACAACCCGTAGCGTCTGTAACCCGAGGTATGACTGTAAACCAATCCGGAATAAAACGCGTTCAAGCTCCAAGGAAAATATTTCAGATCCTTCTCTAAGTGACATTTTGCTTTACCCGTATTTATTTCCCTACTTAATTGATAGAGCTGCCCCAAAGCAGAATGACTCTTGGTAGGCAGGGTGGTGTAGTGGTTAAAGTTTTGGACTAGGGCCTGGGAGTCCAGATCCCCACTCAGTGAAGACAACACTGAGCCTGATGATGGACTAACGGTCGGATTCAGTACCAGGTGGTTTCTCATGTTCCTAACTTGCAGGAACTACCTCATTAGCCTCAGGCACCTGAACTGGCCTTTGGAGGAGCATCTCAGAATTGCTCCGTCACAAAAACAGCAGAGATCCTCCTGGATCAGGCCGGTGACCCATCGAATCCGGCATCCTTATCTCCTGAGCGCAACAGCCCTCTCTACCTTCCTGCTTTTCCGGGGTGGGTACACATGCCCCATTCATGGGTCGCGGTAAGCAAACATGAAGCCAAACTATGGCTTGCTGGCACCGTGAGGATGTGCTGGTTCCTTTTCCTCCTCCGCTGTGCCCAGGAAAAGCTCGTTTCTCGCTCACCACGAGCTGTAACTAAGAATAAGCCTTGACTGCAGCCCGTGGTAAGGGAGGTTGGCTTGCTTGTATTACGTGAACCAGGACACAGGGAGAGCAACTTGGAGATCCCAACACCCCAAGTCTTCCTTATTTATTGACATTTGCAAACAACGAACCTGAAGGGACAAGAAGTACATTATTATTATTATTATTATTATTATTATTATTATTATTATTATTCTTACTACAGTCATACCTCATGTTACGTTTGCTTCATGTTATGTTCTTTCAGGTTACATCCCACGGCGACCCGGAAGTACTGGAAAGGGTTACTTCCAGGTTTCGCCACTGTTGCATGCGAAGCACAAAATGACATCACACGCATGCGCAGGAGCGCAAAATCGCAACCCACGTGTGTGCAAACGTGCCGCTGCGGGTTGCGCTCTTTTCACGTTGCGAACGGGCCTCCGGAACGGATCCTGTTCTCAACCAGAGGTACCACTGTATTATTATTAGGCAGATTGTGCAAATAAAAGTTAAAAGGGACTCTGCAGTCTGCCTCTGTGCCTTCTATTTTTACCCAAATCCTGCCCTGCCTTTGCTGCTTGCCAGTTAATCGCCTTATGCCAGGCTCACAAAGCTGGCTCGTGCCTTCGGATGAAATCTTCGCTCCCAGCTACACCCTGTCGCCTTGGCTCATCTGCCAGCCACTCGTAACAACATCCCATCTTAAGGGATTTCTCCCTCTGCCTCGATAAGACTCTGAAGCAGGTTTCTCGTGCTAATTTTGCAGCGTTTATCATAATCGATATTTATGAATCCTAACGACTGATTGGTTTTATTGCATTTACATCCCACTTTTTTCTCCTAGGAGATCAAAGTTGCATGCTCCCCTCAATCCTCGTAAGGCTGAGAGGTCGTGAATTGACTCCAAGGTCGTCCAGTGAGCTTTGATTTGAACCCTGGTCTCCCAGGTCCCAGTCAAACACTCTAACTGCTAAACCACCAGTGGCTCCACCTCTCTTGGGTGGGCTAGTTAAAAAGACAACAAAAATTGTGGTACGGCACAGGTGCTTAAATGAAAAATATATAGGCAGCAGAGCTGGCGAGATGGGCGCCATAGAGGATGTTTTCCTACAGAAGCCAGATTAAACTCCATTCCTGGTGGCCATTTCTGGCACTGGGCAAGGGAAGTTTGGCAATCTGCTCTTGGACTGCAAGAAACAGTCCTTTACTGCATGCACAGGTCACAATTCCCCTGCAGCGCAAAAAGTGCATTGTGCGCAGAATTATCAGCTAATCTTGGTTACTTCGAAAAGTGTTTGGAAGCCACCAAGTGCCAAGGGGCTCAGCTTTCACTCATACTTTTTAAAAAAATTGAGTTTCTAGTCCATATGGCCGTGGAGATATGCTTGAAGCTACTTGGGCGACGGCTGCTGAAACTGCAGGAAGCGAGAAATGGTTAACTTTTGGGTGGTGGAAGGAGGGTTTTGATGCTCTGCATAGCTCTTCCCCAAAGACCAACAAAACTATCTTCTATTGCAAAATAGCAAAGATTAAAGGAGTTTTAAAACCTAAGAAGAGACCTTAACTATTCTTAACTGGCCAGATACCACCATGAGCGCAAATACCACCTGAAATTCTGTGTATTATTATGGGCACAGCAATTTAAGAAGGATGTTGACAAGCTGGAACCAGCGTTAGAAAACTGGGATAGGAATGCTAGCAGCCATGTGGCATCTCCCATCCAGTTTCAAAAGGCCGGGTTGCCAGTTATAAAAAGCGACTGGCGCCCAGCTAATTTCGAACAATGGACATGTTTAACCTGGAAAAGAGGAGATACGATAGAATGTCTTGAGGGCTGTCACATGGAAGAGGGAACAAGCTTGTTTCTCCTGCTTTGGAGGGCAAGATTCGAACCAGTGGCTTCAAGTTTCAAGAAAGGAGATTCTCACTGAACATCAGGGAAAGCATCCTGAAAGTAAAAGCTGTTCACAGTGGAACGGTCTCCCTTGGGAGGTGGTGGACTCTCCTTTCTTGGAAGATTTTGAGCAGAGGTGGGATGGCCATCTGTCAGGGATGCTCTAGCCGGAATTCCTGCACTGCTGGGGGTTGGACTAGATGATTCTTGGATGTCCCTTCCAACTCTTAAGATTCAGAACTCCGGTTGTGGTCTGACCAAGGCAGAGTAAGAGTGGTACTATCCCTTCCCTTGATCAGGACACAGCTCATGCCCTCGCCTTCTGAACTTAGGCAGGCTGCCTTCTGATTTCTCGGTGGCTCACTGACAAAAGATCTTTGCCTTCTTTTGCTACCTAATCTTAACACAAGACACCAGGGATTGAACCCAGGGCGCAAAGCTCCACCACTGAGCTGCGGGTTGATTCTATGAAATCTTCATGACAACAAAACGATGTCCAGGGGGCCCCCAGAGAATCTTTTGCCGGGAAGGAGGCAGGTGATTCTCGAGTATTTGAGGTCCTTTGGAAAGAGTCAAAATGGCTTCAGGATTGCTCTCCTGTACAGTGGTACCTTGGTTCTCAAACGCCTTGGTACTCAAACAACTTGGAACCCAAACACTGCAAACCCGCAAGTAAGTGTTCCAGTTTGCGAACATTTTTTGTAAGCCAAACATGATCCATTTTGAGTGCCACACTTCCGTTTTGAATGTTACACTGAGGTCTGTCTGCTTCTGCTATTTATTTTCACTTCTGCAGCCATTTTTGTTTTGTTTTTGTGACTGTGGAACCCAGTTCAGCTACTGATTAATTGATTGTGTGACTGCAGTACATTGTTTATTGCTTTCATTTTATGGCTCAATGGTCTCGTTGGATAGTAAAATTCATGTGAAACTGCTGTTTCAAGGGTTGTTTTTAAAAGTCTGGAACAGATTTATCCATTTTGCATTGCTTTCTATGGGAAAGTGTGCCTTGGTTTTGGAATGCTTTGGTTTTGGAACAGACTTCCGGAACGGATTAAGTTTGAGAACCAAGGAACCACTGTACAGTGGTACCTCTGGTTGCGAATGCGATCCGTTCCGGAGCCCCATTCGCAAACTTATAGGGCATTCCTGGTTCTTTCCCTTTCATCCCACTAAGACCTCTGCAAAGTAGGTCAGCCGAAGATATCCACAGCTGAGCTCTGCATCTTTCCAGTTCATGGCTGAGCAGGGACTTGAATACAGATCTCATTTCCCATGTCTGACATTCTCTCCATATCACCGCACTATGCTATACTGCTAGTTTACAGTGAGAGCTGTACCATAAAGAAAGCTGATCGCTGAAGAATTTATGTTTTTGAATTATGGTGCTGGAGGAGACTCTAAAGAGTCCCATGGACTGCAAGAAGATCAAACCTATCCATTCTGAAGGAAATCAGCCCTGAGTGCTTACTGGAAGGACAGATCGTGAAGCTGAGGCTCCAATACTTTGGCCACCACATGAGAAGAGAAGACTCCCTGGAAAAGACCCTGATGTTGGGAAAGATGGAGGGCACAAGGAGAAGGGGACGACAGAGGACGAGATGGTTGGACAGTGTTCTCAAAGCGACCAGCATGAGTTTGACCAAACTGCGGGAGGCGGTGGAGGACAGGAGTGCCTGGCGTGCTCTGGTCCATGGGGCCACGAAGAGTCGGACACGACTAAACAACAACAACTTTGAGGTTCTTTCGAACTGCTAGGTTGGCAGGAGCAGGGACTGAGCAACGGGAGCTCACCCCGGGCGGAGATTCAAACAGCTGACGTTCTGATCGGCAAGTCCTAGGCTCTGTGGTTTAACCCACAGCGCCACCCGCGTCCCCACCGGTTAAGTTACCTCCCGACTTTTGGGAAGCAAATTGCCCTGAGTCCGGGCTTGAAACCAGACAGAGCTGCCTGAAAAGATACTACTGATCTGGAAGCATGCATTCTGGAGCAGGAAGCAAAGATTACTCCTGAGCGAAGCCACAACCTTCTCCCACGCCGTTCCTTGCCGTGAGCACAGAAGATTGTGTCCTAACGCCGTCTTTAATTATTTCTAATTAAAAGGGCAGAACAGGCGCTTGAAAAAAACAAAACACTGTTCTTTCTCTTTTGCTGACGGCTTCAAACAATCAAAGGCAACTGCTGAAACATGCGCAATTTCATTCCTTCCCTGCGAGATAATCACAGAGGGTAACGCGAGCAGCTGGTTTCATATCCAAGCCCCTTTAAAACTCTCTGCCATTCCCTGCAGAAGTCACAGGGTGAGCCAGTCAGCCAGCCTGCCCAGGCATCTTTGTGCTTTTGAGGGGGGCATTCCCTAAAGCATGAGGGGGCTGTGCCCACAGGTCATTTTTTCATTTTGCTCATTACTCCCAAGTGCAAAGACAACTGAGATGACTCATGGAACCATAGAAATGTAGAGTTGGAAGGACCCCCAGGTAATGTAATGCAGGAAGTTTGCGATCTATCACAATCATAGAATCATAGAATCATAGAGTTGGAATAGACCACAAGGGCCATCGAGTCCAACCCCCTGCCAAGCAGGAAACACCATCAGAGCACTCCTGACATATGGTTGTCAAGCCTCTGCTTAAAGACCTCCAAAGAAGGAGACTCCACCACACTCCTTGGCAGCAAATTCCACTGTCGAACAGCTCTTACTGTCAGGAAGTTCTTCCTAATGTTTAGGTGGAATCTTCTTTCTTGTAGTTTGGATCCATTGCTCTGTGTCCGCTTCTCTGGAGCAGCAGAAAACAACCTTTCTCCCTCCTCTATGTGACATCCTTTTATATATTTGAACATGGCTATCATATCACCCCTTAACCTCCTCTTCTCCAGGCTAAACATGCCCAGCTCTCTTAGCCGTTCCTCATAAGGCATCGTTTCCAGGCCTTTGACCATTTTGGTTGCCCTCCTCTGGACACGTTCCAGTTTGTCAGTGTCCTTCTTGAACTGTGGTGCCCAGAACTGGACACAGTACTCCAGGTGAGGTCTGACCAGAGCAGAATACAGTGGCACTATTACTTCCCTTGATCTAGATGCTATACTCCTGTTGATGCAGCCCAGAATTGCATTGGCTTTTTAGCTGCCGCGTCACACTGTTGGCTCATGTCAAGTTTGTGGTCAACCAAGACTCCTAGATCTTTTTCACATGTACTGCTCTCAAGCCAGGTGTCACCCATCTTGTATTTGTGCCTCTCATTTTTTTTGCCCAAGTGCAATACTTTACATTTCTCACTGTTAAAATTCAACAACAATGTTGAAAACCAGATTGTCGCAAAACCCTAATGGTAGGCAGCCACAACGCGAAGGCGCGAACAGTACAGAGCTAAAAAGCACTCCTTAAACAATCAATGTACACCGAAGCATTGCACGAGGGTACCAGTCCGATGGCCTGCGAAAAGTAAAACAAAATCCGCCAGGTTATCAGACCTGGAAACTTGAAGACGCTTGAGACTTTTCAGCCTCCCCAAGGCTGTTTATGGGACCAAGGCACATACCATGACAGTGATGCCATCTTTCTCCAGCGGAGTCTTGTCATAGGTAACTTCGCAAACCCTCACGACTGTCGTCGCACCGTATTTCTTCAGGTCCTGCGCAGGGGAAGAAGGGGAAAAGAAGACTTTAGCTGCCCTGGCCTGAATCATGGCTTCGTAGACTGACCACAAGGGCCATTCTGGTCTAACCTCCTTTAAACTGTACCTTTAAACTGAACTACTGCAATTCAGTCTCCCTGTAATGAGAGCCACCTGGGAATGGTTACTTATGCTTCAGGTTTCATGCAAGTGGTAGCAGTGGTTACATATCCACAGGACCACAGCTCCTTGTGCATTTTTCTAATCTATGGGGTATGTACCTTTGTCCTTCTTATTGTAGTTGTAGCATATAATAATAATAATAATTTATTATTTGTACCCCGCCCATCTGGCTGGGTTTCCCCAGCCACTCTGGGCAGCTTCCACAAAGACCAAAAATACACTAAGATGTCACACATTAAAAACTTCCTTGAAGATGTCTTCTGAATGTCAGGTAGTTGTTTATCTCTTTGACATCTGATGGGAGGGCCTTCCACAGGGTGGGCGCCACCACCGAGAAGGCCCTCTGCCTGGTTCCCTGTAGCTTTGCTTCTCACAATGCGGGAACTGCCAGAAGGGGCACTGGACCTCAGCGTCCGGGTAGAACGATGGGGGTGGAGACGCTCCTTCAGGATTGTAATACATGGGTTGTAATGTGTGAAGTTTATATAGCTTTCATGTACACAGGTCATTGCTTCATATTTGAATTCTTTTGTAGTGGTGCTAAAGAAGATTCCAGCGAAACAGTCGGATCACTGTCCTACGTTTTTATTCACTTACTACTTTGGCACCGTGAACGCCTACAAAGTTTACCGCTTAGCCCACAGGATAGCATCTATTACTTTGCTTCAACCATAGACTTATTATACTTCTACGGACTTTCAAAGATGGACAGACGTGTTCATTTGTTTTCAAATATATTAGAGAATTTACAAGTGTACACATTTTGTTTCTGTTGTACTAAATCATGTATAGTATGCAATAAGAATTACAGTGCTATCTAGTATACTGGTCTTCATGTAGCTTGTTGTGCAGGAATCTTTGGCCCAACGTGGGTCTCGAACCCCAAACCCTGAGATTAAGTGTCTCGCGCTCTGCCGACCGGAAGCCCAGTTCAGAAAGCCGTTTTGCTTCAGTGAGGCAGGAGTCCTGCGACGGCTAAGTGGAACTGCTTCCTTCCTTCCTTCCCTGATGCATTCTTGCGCAACTTATTAAAAACGTTCTGCCCATGTCCCCCACACTGGTATTGGGGTCAGCCTTCTCCAAACTGGTGCCCCCCCAGAGAGGTGTTACAGAGGTGTTTCTAGGCTGCCTCAACAGACGTACAGTGTCCCGATTAAGGGAAGTAATAGTACCACTCTGTTCTGTCTCGGTCAGACCACACCTCAAGTACTGTGTCCAGTTCTAGGTGCCACAATTTAAGAAGGCTGATGGCAAGCTGGAGAGTAGGACTCGAACCCACGGCATTAAGTTACAAGAAAGGAGATTTCAGTTTAACATCAGCGAAAGCTTTCTGACAGTAAGAGGGTGATGGACTCTCCTTCCTTGGAGGTTTTTCAACAGAGGTTGGACGTTTACCTATCATGGATGCCTTTGTTGAGATTGACGACTCTACAGATCTAGCCTAAGCCCACAGTGAAGCTACAGTCATACCTCGTGTTGCGTTTGCTTCAGGTTGAACGTTTTCAGGTTGCGTCCCGCGGCGACCCGGAAATACCAGAAAGGGTTACTTCTGGGTTTCGCCACTCGCGCATGCGCAGACGCTCAAAATGACGGTGTGCGCAAAAGCGGCGAATCGCGACATGCGCAGACGCGGGTTGCGTTCTTTTCAGGTTGCGAACAGGGCTCCGGAACGGATCCTGTTCGCAACCAGAGGTACCACTGTACTACCCAAAGTGGGGCCATCGACGACTGTCTTAAAATCCCCAAAGGGCTGTTACAAAGAGGAAGGCAAAGACTTGCTCTCAGTAGATCTCGTGGGTTTTAAATACAGGATCAAGTTACTAGATCTCATGGGCCAGAGAGAGAGGGAGGTCTGGAAGTCTACACTTGGCTGAGGTCCGGCATCCTTGGCCTAGTTGCTCCTCTTCCCACAAGGTTCTCCTTCCAAGTCCTACTTTAGAGAAAGCAGACTCCAGCCAGGGAAGGCAGCGATATTCCTTGCTGCTCCCTCAAAGGTTAAACGAGGGCATTTATTTTTAATCCCGGTAGGTATGTTGCAAGTTCGCTGAGTTGCCCACGTAACCAGATCAACATCTGCGGACAACAGAGCTGTTTTGGGGGCCTATTGGGGGCGGGGGAGAGAGAGAGAAGAGACGAACAGCTAAAAACAGCATCCTGGCCGTAAGCCCAGGTATAAAGGGGAGGGCAAAAGCTGCCCAGCAAATTTTAAGCAGATCTGGGTGGGCTTTAAAAACAAAACAAAAAAGGCAATAGGGACGCAGGAAGGGACCTGTGGCAAAGTAGAGTGACGAAAGTAAATTCATTCAAAGTAAAAGCAAGGGCTGCTTTTGGGAAGAACAGGCACCTGGTTTGGTTACCAAGTGACGTAATTCAGCATTCCCAAGGATCTGCCTGGGCAAGCTCAACCGCCAAAGCGGTCAGAACCTCCTGCCAAATGTAGTCTGAACATTTGCATCTCAACCGCCCCTATAAAAATAAATAAATGGGGGGAGGGGGGAACTATGGCTAAGTTTACATGATACCTTTTAAAGTAGAATCAGATCACCCCCCCCACCAGCAAAGAATTCTGGGCAGTGTAGTTTTACCCCTCGCAGAGGCACAATCCCAAACAACCCTTGACAAACTACATTGCCCAGAATAATTGGGGGCGGGCAAATGTGCATGGAATGGGCTTTAAAGGTAAAATGTGCACACAGCCTAAGAGAACAAAGTTGTGCCTGGTGGCTTCATAGAATCAGTTGGAAGGGATCCAGGGGTCATCCAGTCCAACCCGCTGCAATGCAGGAATCTCAACGAAAGCATCCATGACAGATGGCCATTCTACCTCTGCTTAAAAACCTCCAAGGAAGGAGCGTTCACAACCTCTTGTGGGAGTCTGTTCCACTGTCAAACAGCTCTTGCTCTCAAAAAGTTCTTCCGGGTGTTGAGTCGGAATCTCCTTTCTTGTAACTTGAAGCCATGGGTTCGAGTCCTGCCATCCAGAGCAGGAGAAAACAAGCTTGCTCCCTCCTCCATGTGACAGCCCTTGAGATATTTGAAGATAGCTATCGTATCTCCTCTCAGTCTCCTCTTTTCCAGGCTAAACATACCCATCTCCTCCAACCATTCCTCATCAGGCTTGGTTTCCAGACCCCTGATCATCTTGGTCTCCCTCCTCTGCACACCTTCCAGCCTGTCAACATCCTTCTTAGACTGTGGTGCCCAGAACTGCACACAGTATTCCAAGTGTGGTCTGACTAAGGCAGAATAGAGTGGTACTATTACTTCCCTTGATCTGGACACTAGACTTCTGTTGATGCAGCCTAGAATAGCATTAGCTTTTTTTGCTGCTGCATCACACTGTTGACTCATGTTCAGCTTGTGATCCACCAAGACCCCTAGATCCTTTTCACATGTACTGCTAGTAAGCCAGGAGTTCCCCGTCTTGCATTTGTGCATACAATTCTCCCTGCCCAAGAGCAAAACCTGCCATTTGTCCCTACTGAAATTCACTGGGTTAGTTTGGGCCCAGTTCTCCAGTCTGTTAAGGTCACCCTGAATCCCGATTCTGTCTTCTGCGGTATTAGCTACCCCTCCCAGTTTGCTCTTCCAGGTGCACTAGCAACTCCCATGACTGAAAGACCCACATTGGCTCCCAGTAGGTTTCCAAGCACAATTCAAAGTGTTGGTGCTGACCTTGAAAGCCCTAAACGGCCTCGGCCCAGTATACCTGAAGGAGCATCTCCACCCCCATCATTCTGCCTGGACACTGAAGTCCAGCGTCGAGGGCCTTCTGGTGGTTCCCTCGCTGCGAGAAGCCAAATGACAGGGAACCAGGCAGAGGGCCTTATCGGTGGTGGCATCCACCCTGTGGAACGCCCTCTCACCAGATGTCAAAGAGAAGAACTACCAGACTTTTAGAAGACATCTGAAGGCAGCCCTCTTTAGGGAAGCTTTTAATGTTTAACATACTGCATTTTAATACTTTGTTGGAAGCCAGATGGGCGGAATATAAATAATAAATTATTATTAATTATTATTATTATCATCGTCGTCGTCCCTGGCCAGCAAGGCCAAGGATGATGGGATTTGTAGTTGAGTGCCCTTTCAAGAGGCTAAAAGGGTGACCACCCCTGTTTCATATGGGCAACTTGCTGTTCTGGGGGGCTGAATGGAAACTCTCAGGGGTGAAGAATGATGACACTTTGAGCTCTTCCGCTGGCTCCATGCAGACAGCTTTGACCTTGCTGGTCTAAATATTACCTTACTTTCAAAGGTAAACTCCTTTTGATTGTTGACTCTCCAGGCCCAGCCAATTACAATTCAGCCAAAACAATCTTTCTGCGAACCAGATCCCTTGCCGAGCGAGTAAAAATCACCTCCAGGAAAACAGGGAGAAAAGGAACCACCCGCTGGGGGCAACTTGGGGGTCAGTGCTAAGGGGCAAGCGGGGTGCGGAATGAATTTCACGCTTTGGAAAGCTGGTCTTAATCCAACTAAACAGTTTTACTTGCATTCAGAATGAATGCGCAATTGTTACTGTTTTGAATTTTATTGTGTTATTATCTTCCTTAGTGGGCTGTGCAAACCGATATTCTGATTGATGCTTTTTTCATAGGGCAGGGCAAGGGGAATTTAGGGGTGAGTTTCTGGAACTGAGGAGGCAGAACCTCAAAGTGTCTGGGAACCACAGATCTATCCAAAATGGTTTTATTTTGCAGCTTGCGACGGCTGATACAGACACTGAGTAGGCCCAAAGTTCAGCAAGCGGGTAACCTTTAAGTAGGCTAAACAAACAGTCCCTCCGTCTAGGAGGTGGACGTGAAGACAGCAAACCAATTTTCTGCAGGAGCAGCGGTGCCAAAAGTTTGTGGCTTATCTGAACCGCTGGCAGCCGAGATCCTTCAGAATTTTCCAAGTACGTCAGAACTTCAGGTAATCTTCACATACTCTGAAGCCGTCAGGAGCTCCTATGGTGACTAAGGAGGCTTTCTGAACAAGGCACCTAACATTCAGACTGAATCCCTCTCCAGTTAACAAGTGAGAGAACGTCGGGGGAAAATACACCCTTCTTTGTTTGACATGCAAGGATGTGCAAGCTTAAGACTCTCACCCGCTGTCTTTAACCGAGATGGGAGACTCCCCAAATTCTACTCTACAGCTGCTCCAACTCTCTGAAATCTCTGGGAGCGCTTTTGGGGTGGGAGAAAAGAGATTCTTTCTCTCCAGCTCTTAACTCGATATGCCCTTGACCTGTGATTGGATAGGGAACAGGAATCTCCCTTGCAACATTTCTGGAACAGACTCCTGGAAAAGTGATGTAGTCTTAACTTTTTGGGGTTGTATTCAAAGCAGTGACTATGGGATTCTCCCTCCCTGGTTATCCCCTAAATCTGTTCTGCGGTTTCCCAGAACCAAATAAAGCAGATTTGGGGGTGGCAGCAGTGTCCGTTGCGCAGGTTCCTCGGTCCCCAAGCACAATTGTTTCGTTGGCCGCTGCCCTTTGCGTCCGTCCCCCTCAAAAACATCTGCTAGAGCGGAACCCCAACATATATGGCCTCGGTTCAGTATACCTGAAGGAGCATCTCCATCCCCATCGTTCTGCCCGGACACTGAGGTCCAGCGCCGAGGGACTTCTGGCGGTTCCCTCGCTGAGAGAAGTAAAGCTACAGTGAACCAGGCAGAGGGCCTTCTCGGTAGTGGCACCTGCCTGTGGAACGCCGTCCGATCAGATGTCAAAGAGATAAACAACTACCTGACATTTAGGAGACATCTGAAGGCAGCCCTGTTCAGGGAAGTTTTTAATGTGTGACATTTTATTGTATTTTTAATCTTTGTTGGAAGCCCCCAGAGAGGCTGGGGAAACCCAGCCAGATGGGCAGGGTACAAATTTATTATTATTATTATTATTATTATTATTATTATTGGTGGAACCTGCAAGAGGGCCTTTAAACCAATGGGCAATCGCAGAATCCGATTCGACCCCAACGTTTCCAATTTGCTCAGGCGGACTTACCTCAATAAAGGTGTTCAGAGTGGCGTTGGTTGGGTTGTGAGTAATCAGGAATCTCATGTTCTTGTAGCAAACCTCCACAGGCGCCGGGCGGTTCATGCGGGCCATGGCGGAGGAAGGAGTGGGGGTCTCAAGATTGGTTGGAAGGGGGGGGGGGACAAAACAAATGCGCGCACACACCAAAATCCAACACGCCCGCAAAGGAGGTGGGGGAAAAAAAAGAGAAGATTTGCAGGGCGAAAAAGGAAATGGAAGAGTTTGGCAAAAGGCTATCTTTTCTCCCCCCTGACCAACACAAATGTTGTGCAAAATATTCCCAGCTTTGGGGAGAGCGCAGGCCGGATTCTCTAAAACATACAGTTAAGGGGGGGGGAAAGGAACCCTGTGCTTGCTTGCTGCTGAGCAAAAAAAAAATCAAAACAAAACCAAAACCTGCTGTAGTGTCAATTTCCTTTGTGTGTGCAATTTTAGACGTCCTTCGCTGCTGCTTCGCTTCCCTGCCTGGGCTCTCTCTATCTCTCTCTTCCCCCTCTTTAGAAAGGCCTCTGCATTCGGTTAACCCCACCGGCGTCCGTCCTGCGCCATCACGTTACCCCATCTGGATATGTAGAATATTTGGGGGCAGCGATGGGGACCCGGGGCGGCTCAGGCTGGGGCAGCGGGCGGCAAAAGTCCTCCTCGGGCTGCAAGAGCCATGCACAGGAGACCTGAATGGTGAAGCCCGACGACTCAGGGCGCCCGGTTTTGGGCGGGGTGGCCGCGTCCTTCCTTCAGCGGGCAGGATGTTGCGCGGGGCAGTGCTCAAAGCTGCACCCGGGACCCTCCATAAATCGACAGCCTTTCAGCATACGAGACAATCTGGAAGAAGGGGAAATGGGGGAGAGAGAAAGAAAGAAAGAAAGGGTCTCCAGTCAGTGGGAAAGTCTCCATCGATAAGGACATGATAATGCTGATATTATTATTATTATTATTATTATTATTATTATTATTAATTTATTCATACCCTGCCCATCTGGTTGCGTTTTCCCAGTCACTCTGGGCGGCTTCCAACAGATAATAATAATAATAATAATAATAATAATAATAATAATAATTTATTTATATCCTGCCCTCCCCAGCCAAAGCCAGGCTCAGAGCGGCTAACAACAGTAAAATAATACAGCATTCTAAAATCAATTCATTATAAAATCAGTTCAAATCAAATGATGGCAACCATTGGGCTAGAATTCTGTGAAGAATTACCAAAGGAGGGGGTCAGGCTATTAAACATTAAAAATAACCTATTAAACATTAAACGCTTCCCTAAACAGGGCTGCCTTCAGATGTCTTCTAAAGGTTTGGTAGTTATTTTTCTCTTTGACATCTGGTGGGAGGGCGTTGCACAGGGCAGGTGCCACTACTGAGAAGGCCCTCTGCCTGGTTCCCTGTAACCTTACTTCTCACAATGAGGGAACCGCCAGAAGGCCCTCAGCGCTGGACCTCAGTGTCCGGGCAGAACGATGGGGGTGGAGACGCTCCTTCAGGGAAAGAAGAGTTATAGCACAAAGGTCAAAATTTAAAGCCATTGCGGGCATCTAGGACTTGTGGCTTTGCTGGCCTGCTTCATGAGCTACAGAACTGACTATCAGCCCAAAGTCCAAGGAATGGAGAGTGATTCCAAAGGGGAATCTAGCCCAACTCTCTCTCTCTCTTTTTATAGATCTAGTTAGAGATAGGTAGCCGTGTTGGTCTGCTGTAGTCGAAACAAAATTAAAAAATTCCTTCCAGTAGCACCTGGAAGGATTTTTTAAAATTTTGTTTCTTTTTATACCATTTTTATTAATTTTTCTAATTTACATTTCAAAATATTCAATTAAACAACCTTAAGTCAATGACCGCTTCTTCTCTTTTCGTGGTTCATTCTGTATACCGCAACATCCCTGCATGTTTTACTTAAACCAGGCACCCCCCAACCTTTGGCCCTCCCGATGTTTCGGACTACAATTCCCATCATCCCTGACCACTGGTCCTGTTAGCTAGGGATCATGGGAGTTGTAGGCCAAAACATCTGGAGGGCCGCAGGTTGGGGGTGCCTGACATAAACTAAACCATTCAGTAATCCATTGTTACATCCACCAAAGCTTATTTACACTGTTGAAGTTATCTTAACGCTACCAGGGTCTTTAAATGAACACAGTTTTCACCCATGTATTCAGTAAAGTTTCCAGTCTTCTTTAAATGTACATTCTTCTTGTTCTCTTTTTCTATATGTTAAATCTGCAAGTTGCCGAACTCTCTCTCAATGCAGATGCCAACTTCCTTTTTAGGAAAAGCTTGTTTATCTATTACATTTTTATGCCTCCTTTTTCTCCATGGAGTTTAGGGTGGTGTACGTGGTTCTCTCCCCCTCCCCCCAAAACACGTGTTCGAAATTAGCCAGGCGCCAAGTGCATTTTGCACCCGGCTATCTATCGGCCACTGAAGATGCCAGGGCGCCAAGATGCCACCTAACATCTTTGGCATCTGGAGGTGCATGCCTGAGGATTGTTGGATATCGACCGTTTTCGCCCACTAACACTCCCAATAGTGTGGTTTTCGATCTGTTATATTTTATCCACACAATCGGAATGAATTTCAGGAAACCAAAATGCCTTTTCATTTTCAGGCTGAACAGGAAGCAGTCACCATTCAGGGGAAAAAAGGCCAATATAGGTGTGGATGGCCCTGGATCAAGCGGCTTTTCTTCTTTCAGTTCTCAAAGTTCTTAACCCACCTCAAGGTGGACTAGCCAGATGTTTTAACTGAGAATCAAACACAGTCAGTCCATCATTTGGAAAACAAGACCATACAGTGGACGCTTGGGTTGCGAACGTAATCCGTGCGGGATGCATGTTTGAAACCTGCAGCGTTCGCAACCTGCGTCTGCGCACGCGCGGGTTACGATTTGGCGCTTCTGCGCATGCGCGACTGCTGAAACCCGGAAGTAACCCGTTCCGGCACTTCCGGGTTTCTGCGGTCCGTAACCCGAAAAAACGCAACCTGAAGCGGCTGTAACCTGAGGTATGACTGTATAACCGTCTTGCCCCAAAATGGCAACCAGATGTTCCATTTTGGCGACTGCAACCTTGGTTTAAGGAGCCATTTGGCACCTACTATATATATATATACAGTGGTGCCTCGCAAGATGAAATTAATTCGTTCCGCGAGTTTTGTCGTCTTGCGATTTTTTTCGTCTTGCGAAGCACGGTGTCGGGAAAGTTTTGGAAAAGCTTCAAAAATCACCAAAGTCTTTAAAAACCTCAAACAAGGCTACCACACCGCTTTCTATGAGTTGCTCCTCGAAGTCAAGTTGCAACTGTATTAACGGTGTTAAGAAAAAGTAAACAAACTTGCAAGACGTTTCCGTCTTGCGAAGCAAGCCCATAGGGAAAATCGTCTTGCGAAGCAGCTCAAAAAACCCTTTCGTCTAGCGAGTTTTTCGTCTTGCGAGGCATTCGTCTTGCGGGGGCACCACTGTGTGTGTGTGTGTGTGTGTGTGTGTGTGTGTGTGTGTATGTATGTATATATATATATATGTATATATATATATATATATATATGAGTTTCTAACACTGGCTCTTATATACAGATATATAGTACAGTGGTACCTTGATTCTCAAACTTAATCCGTTCTGGCAGTCTGTTCCAAAACCAAAGCGTTCCAAAACCAAGGCGTGCTTTCCCATAGAAAGCAATACAAAATAGATCAATCCGTTCCAGACTTTTCAAAGCAACCCCTAAAACGGCAATTTAACATGATTTTTACTATCTGACGAGACCACTGATCCATAAAATGAAAGCAATAAACAGTGTACTGCAGTCATACAATCAATCAATCAGTAACTGAACTGGGTTCCACACAGTCACACACAAACAAAAAAGCAAAATAAACAGCAAAAACAGACAGACCTTGGCGCAACACTCAAAATGGAAGTGTGGAACTCAAATTGGAAGCATAAAACTCAAAATGGAGCACGTCCGGCTTCCGATAAAAGTTCGCAAACTGGAACACTTACTTCCGGGTTTGCAGTGTTTGGGTTCCAAGTTGTTTGACTGCCAAGGCGTTTGAGAACCAAGGTACCAATGTACGCTGGTAGTAAGCACTACCTAAACACTTCATTGAAAATAATAATAATAATAATAATAATAATAATAATAATATCGGCACCCACTTTTCTATCCAGTATGGAGGAGCGTTGCACAACAGATAATCCCTCTCTTTTTGCTAGGAAGTGGTAACCAAAAGGTTGACATCACTAGCCTGAACTTGTCCAGCCTATTCTGTTGTCACAGTATGCGACACATGAGGTCACAATATGGACCAGGGGAAGCCATCCTCTAGTCAGGAGGGAGAAAGGTCTTTTTTTCCTTTTTTTGCAAACCGCTTTGAGACGTTTTGCAACCAAGAGGTGTACAAAGTTTACGAAATAAATAGGACTAAAATGACGGAAGGAGGAGGTGGGGAAGAGAATAGGTGCCTTCCTAAATCTGCCCCCGTTCTTCGTCCTCCGTTAATCCTGCACTGGGAAGGAGCTGGACTAGACCAGTGTTAGAAACTCAAAGATATATAAGATAGGAACCAAATGGCTCCTTAAACCAGGGTTACCGTGACCAAAATGGAATGTCTAGCTGCCATTTGGGCCCAGGCAGCTTAAAGGTCGTATTTTTCAATATGACTCTTTGGTTCCTCAAATTCATTCTTTCTTATATTTAAATTCTTACTGGTTTTATAAACTTCACACAAAGTGCAATTCATACACTTTTCTTAGCGATTTGACTTCCTAGCCTTACATTCATGTGGTTTTTCCCTACAGACAAATTACCTGCTGCCTCATTAGAGATGGGAACGCCTGGAAAAAAAACCTGGAAAATTTTTTTTGGGGGGGGGATCCAGCCCCCTCCCAGAAAAAAATGAAAAAACAAACAGTTTGATATAGTTTGAATATTCCACAGTGTGTTTTTTTTCCTGGAAAAAAAGCACTTTGGGTAAAAAAACCTGTTTTCCCCCATTCCGCCCCCCCAAGGCCTTTGCATCTCTATGTCTTATACAGTGGTGCCTCGCAAGACGAAAAGAATCCGTTCCGCGAGTCTCTTCGTCTTGTGGGTTTTTTCGTCTTGCGAAGCAAGCCCATTAGCGGATTAGTGCTACAGTATTAGCGGCTTAGCGGGCTTAGTGGATCAGCTGATAAGCGGCTTAACGATCAGCTGATAAGCGGCTTAACGATAAGCTGATAAGCGGCTTAACGATCAGCTGATAAGCGGCTTAACGATCAGCTGATAAGCGGCTTAACGATAAGCTGATAAGCGGCTTAACGATCAGCTGATAAGCGGCTTAGCATCAGCTGTTAAGCGGCTTAGCCATCAGCTGATAAGCGGTTTAGCGGCTTGGGAAAAAGGGGGGAGGGGAAAAAACCCTGCAGGAACTCACAAGACATTTTCGTCTTGCGAAGCAAGCACATAGGAAATTCGTTTTGCGAAGCACCTCCAAAACGGAAAACCCTTTCGTCTAGCGGGTTTTCCGTCTTGCGAGGCATTCGTCTTGCGGGGCACCACTGTACACAATTCTTATTCTACTATAAATTTCTTTATTCCCTTCATTCTTACAATCCTTCCCTTGCGTAAACATCCAAGACCTGCTTGCAATTTCAATTATTTAATTTTATTGGAATTTTATTTACAACGTAACACAAACCCCCCACTCCCCAATGCACATTAAATGTGAACGTAACATACAGTGAACGTAACATACAACAATACAAACAACCAAATAACAGACTTCCTTTATCCAGCATCTGACTTCCTTATTTACTTCTTATAAACTGTTTCCTTTATGAATAATTATTAAGATTTTTCTAATTATAACTTAAATACCCACAAAGTCTCCTGCAGACATTAATCAAAACAAGTCCAGGTATGTATTTTAGGGCACTGTTTTGTGAAGTATTCCCTGCATTTCCCCCATGTTTTTTGAAACTCTCGTCTAGTGTGATCTCTAATTGCCTCTGTTAATCCAGCCCAGCCTTTCTCAACCTATAGGTCCCCAGATGTTGTTGGACTACAACTCCCATCATGCCTAGCTAGCAAGGCCAGAGCTCAGGGATGATGGGAGTTGTAGTCCAACAACATCTGGGGACCCACAGGTTGAGAACCGCTGATAGCCAGTTCAATATACTCTAACAGTTCATCTTGCCATTCCTTTTTTGTTGGCACAGTTTCTTTTTTCCAGTTTTTTAGCAATTAGGATCCTTGCCGCTCCACATTGTCCATTAACTTCAAAATCCTTTCCTCTTTTGTTGGGGGTTCCTGACATTTGTTCTGACTGTCACGGATAGAATTCTATGGGATAGAATTCTATGGGACGTGTTGTGTATGTGTGAAAGCAGCCAAGACCCAGGGATCTCCAGGCATGCACCTCAAGATGGTGGAGAAATCAAGTGCCATCTTGGCATCCGGGCATCTTCATAATAATAATAATAATAATAATAATAATAATAATAAATTCTATTATTTATACTCCACCCATCTGGCTGGGTTTCCCCAGCCACTGGGCAGCTTACAGCATAGATAAAAAGATAGCAAACATAAAGCATTAAAAACTTCCCGATACAGGGCTGCCTTCAGATGTCTTCTAAAAGTTGTGTGGTTCTTTATCTCCTTGACATCTGAAGGGAGGGTGTTCCACAGGTGCCACTACCAAGAAGGCCCTCTTCACTTGGTGACCACTGGCCCGCAGCCAGGTGCAAAATCAGCCTGGCAAATTTCAACTGCTGGGTTAAGACGCGTTGGAAATTTCCATTCCACCTTTAGTTGCAGACGTGTGAGATTGTTACATGCCACATGTCTGTTTACATTCCAGCACAGTTTGCTGAGAACTTCCGTTGTGTATAGCTTTTGCCTCTCTCTCTGAGGAGACGGCAATGAGAGACGACATGTTTTCTTTGTCCTGATTTATGCCTGATAAATCCGTAGCTTATTAGTATGTTTCCACAAGCCTCACGCCTCTTCTGTTTGCGCCGTTTGCTCTGCTGATGAAGTGTGCTCAGGCTTTGAAGCCTGAGTCGCTGATTTACGTTGAGCCAGAGGTTGAGGGAAGGACGCGGGTGGCGCTGTGGGTTAAACCACAGAGCCTAGGACATGCCGATCAGAAGGTCGGCAGTTCGAATCCCCGCGACGGGGTGAGCTCCCGTTGCTCGGTCCCTGCTCCTGCCAACCTAGCAGTTCGAAAGCACGTTAAAGTGCAAGTAGATAAATAGGTACCACTCTGGCGGGAAGGTAAACGGCGTTTCCGTGCGCTGCTCTGGTTAGCCAGAAGCGGCTTAGTCATGCTGGCCACATGACCCGGAAGCTGTACGCCGGCAAACTCGGCCAATAAAGCAAGATGAGCGCCGCAACCCCAGAGTCGGCCACGAGTGGACCTAATGGTCAGGGGTCCTTTACCCTAGAGGTAGAGGGATCGTCATGACTGGAAGGGCACGATCCAGCTGAGGGTAGCCAGCTGGCTTCTCGGCCCCCGAAGGACGCCGACAAGATGACCCTTGGGGTCCTTTCTAACTCTACAATTCTGTAATGAAGGAGATCAGCAAATGATCCGAGAGTTCAGAGAATGCAGGGAATGGCGACAGCAGCATGTTTTAATAAGTCTGCGTGTCGAAGCAAGAGGATTTTGAGAGTCTGAGTGCAACTTCTCCCATGAAGCTACTTTATACCAGATCAGATTATCTGACTGTCTAGTGCTGTCACAGTCAGACTGGATGGCTAGCAGCTCAATAATAATAATAATAATTTTATTTATACCCTGCCTTCCCCAGCCTAGATCGGGCTCAGGGCGGCTAACACCCAATATAAAACAAATAGATTGAAATACAACTTAAAAACAAGATTAAATTACAACATTAAAACATGAAAATAAAGCCTCATTTCAATGGAAACAAATAAAAAAAATTTGGGGGATGAAAACGTTGAGTCTTCACCGAGGCTAACTATCCAGACTGGTCCTACATGGGCCAGGAAAAAAGTCAGAGAAGTCCCCAAATAGGAGTTCTCTAGCCAAGGAAGGTCTTTCTCAACACCTTCTACCTGGTCCTTAGATGCCTCAAGCAGTGTGATGTGACCTTCGCCAGGAAGGAAAGCACCTGGAACAAGCATCTTGAGATGGTTGCCTGTGGATATCGGCCCTCTTCCCTTCTTGCCCCTGCCTGCTGCCAGGCGTATGGCATGGACTTCCCAACTGCACCCGGAACCTGAAACCTGCAACGCTAGCAGTTTGGAGCTGACTCATACATATACAAGCTTCGGTTGCAAACAGCCGTTACTGAACAACTTGCAGCTGAGTATTGTAAACTGCTAACTCAGAAGAGAAGGGTGGTTCAGTGACCTCGGGTGATTTTAAAGTTTTTCCCGTGGTTCATCAACATGCATGAACTCGCTCTTGTCAGGGACTGAAAAGATGAGGAAATAAATATGTCGCCGGATGTGGGGCAGAGGCACTACACTCGCTTCCTGGCAGGTGAGCTGTGGCTGTTTGCAGGGGGAAAGAGGAGGAAGGAAGAAGAAGAGGAAGAGGAAGAAGAGTTTGGATTTGATATCCCGCTTTATCACTACCCTAAGGAGTCTCAAAGGGACGCGGGTGGCGCTGTGGGTTAAACCACAGAGCCTAGGACTTGCTGATCAGAAGGTCGGCGGTTCGAAACCCTGCGATGGGGTGAGCTCCCGTTGCTCAGTCCCTGCTCCTGCCAACCTAGCAGTTCGAAAGCACAACAAAGTGCAAGTAGATAAATAGGTACCGCTCCGGCAGGAAGGTAAACGGCGTTTCCATGAGCTGCTCTGGTTTGCCAGAAGTGGCTTAGTCATGCTGGCCACATGACCTGGAAGCTGTACGCCGGCTCCCTTGGCCAATAAAGCGAGATGAGCGCCGCAACCCCAGAGCCGGTCACGGTGTAGTGGTTAAGAGCGGTAGTCTCGTAATCTGGGAAACTGGGTTCGCGTCTCCACTCCTCCACATGCAGCTGCTGGGTGACCTTGGGCCAGTCACACTTCTCTGAAGTCTCTCAGCCTTACTCACCTCACAGAGTGTTTGTTGTGGGGGAGGAAGGGAAAGGAGAATGTTAGCCGCTTTGAGACTCCTTAAAGGGAGTGAAAGGCGGGATATCAAATCCAAACTCTTCTTCTTCTTTCCCTTCCTGCCCCACAATAAACACTCTGTAAGGTGAGTGAGGCTGAGAGATTTCAGAGAACTTTGACTAGCCCAAGGTCACCCAGCAGCTGCATGTGGAAGAGCAGGAAACCGAACCCGGTTCACCAGATTACGACTCCACCGCTCTTAACCACTGAACCACACTGGCTCTCAGTGGAGGTCTGTGTGGCGCGAACACACTGGCAGAGCCTCTCTGGTGTGCCTGCTGCTGCTGCGTTTGCACCGAACTGACTTCCCAGCCGCCTCCCCGCTGTGTCCACCTACTGGGAAAAGAGGGCCGTATTTTCCTGCTGCTGTGTGCATACACACCAAGACCAGATCTGCCCAGAGTCGCCCTGTTTCCTTTCAGCGAAGGAAGGAGGCAGCAGTTTCTGCAACTGAGGCATTGGTAGCAAGGCAAGCACAGATGAAACAATTTCAAGACGGCTGGCTGGGGTCACACTCTCACCTGGCAAGCACACAAATCTCAGGTCCAAGTTCAAAAGAATGGACCACCTGCCCATTTCCAGATGGTGTCTACGCAAGCCCACCTGGGTTAAAACCCTGCTCAGGTAGCAGCACACCCGAGATTCTTCTCTCTGGGCCTCTGAGTGGGATTGTGAACAGAAGGAGCTGAAACAGTTCCTATGACTGTGCTGGGTGACCTTCACAAAGGAGCCCAAGGAGCCAGCCCCAGAGCTTGGCATCCACCAAGGTACCTCCTTTCCCTGGTTCCCGAAAAAGGACCTGACCATAAGACGCACCTAGTTTTTAGAGGAGGAAAACAAGGAAAAAAATATTCTGAACGAAACAGCGGATGTATGTTTTTGTGGTTCATGCTGTGGCCTGATGTGATCTGATGGTGAATTTGGGGTGACCCAATGTAAAAATCCTGAGGATCCATGGGCTTTTACCTCCCCCCTCCCAGGCTAGGGTCCCTTATCTCTCGCAATCCCACCGATCAGCTATTTCCTTTCAACACCCCTATACCTCCTGTTTGCCTTAGTGTCTTTTCCTTAGCTGGAGCAGTTTTTTGCTCCTCCTTTTCTTCTAATTTCTCTCCTTATTGCTTTAGTCTTCCTGTTTCCCCCCTTTGCAAGTTTGCTGTCTTTACCTCCCCCCTCCCAGGCAGCCTCCTTTATCTCTAGCGTCCCTTATCTCTCTCCCCGATCGGCAAACGATCAGCGGCTTTGTTTGAACACCCACTTCCCTCTTTCAAAAAAAAGAGAGCATGATCTGCTTTTTGCCCCTGGGCAATTCGGCTCCAGAGACCACACATTCGCTTCATAAGACGCACAGACATTTCCCCTTACTTTTTAGGAAGAAAAATACGGTATCTTCTGCCCCTTGTTTCAGGAAACTCTCTGAGGTCCGAAATCACCCTCCTTTCCATAGCCACCAGAACCTGCCTGGTCCATCAGCAGGAGGCACGCAAGAGAAAAAGCTTCACCCACTTTGTCTCTTCTTACCCCCCTTTGTCTTAAGAGTGCACCAGAGGAACACCTGGTAAACGCACAGGAACGTATTGCATGAATTCTGCACAGTGGCAGAGCTCATGTTTTGAATGCAGAAAACTCCTAGCTCAATCGCTGGCATGGAATCTGCAGCTAAAAAGGACCAGGTAAGGAGCTGTTGGGAGGGCCTCTGCCCAAGATTGGAGAGCTGGAGTAGACAAGTAAAATAGTATGATCTGCTGCAAAGATGGTGTCCCAGTTATCTCTCGCTTGGACTACTGCAATGCGCTCTTTGTGGGGCTACCTTTGAAGGTGGACCGGAAACTACAACTAATCCAGAATGCGGCAGCTAGACTGGTGACTGCCGCCGGGACCACATAACACCGGTCCTGAGAGATCTGCATTGGCTCCCAGTACATTTCCGAGCACAATTCAAAGTGTTGGTGCTGACCTTTAAAGCCCTAAACGGCCTCAGTCCAGTATACCTGAAGGAGCGTCTCTACCTCCATCATTCTGCCCGGACACTGAGGTCCAGCACTGAGAGCCTTCTGGCGGTTCCCTTTCTGCGAGAAGCCAAGTTACAGGGAACCAGGCAGAGGGCCTTCTCGGTCGTGGCACCCACCCTGTGGAACGCCCTCCCATCAGATGTCAAATAGAAAAACAAGTACCAGACTTTTAGAAGACATCTGAAGGCAGCCCTGTTTAGAGAAGTGTTTAATGGGGTATAAATAATAATAATAATAATAATAATAATAATAATAATAATAATTACAATTTCCAATCTTCCCAATGACCTTATATCTTGTTTTGTCCCACTTTAAGCACAACGGCTTGCAGCACGGAGATGAGTTTGCCTACAGCCTTATTAAGTTCTGATTATCCCTCCCCTGCTGGGGAAATCCCAGGCCAGCAAAGTCGTGGCAATGATGGTATCAGACCACGTCGACGGCACCTGCAAGAGGGAACGTCCAAGAGCTTGTCAACGCCGCTTTGAACTTTTATCTCACTCTCTCGAGAGCCCTGCCAACAAAGCAAGATCTAGCTGTGGCCAAATTTCTTCCTTTGAAAAGATCTCGGTCCTGGCTACATGGCAAGAGGTTTGCATCTCTCCACCGGGCCAAGAGACGGGGTGATAATGCAAAGCAGACCGAACAGCTTCTTGGACCATCTACAACACAGCTTGCTTTTTTGGGAGAGATGCAAGCACTGAGAAACATATGCTCTACTCGGCAGATCCCAGATTTTCACACACACACACACACACACACCATAGCTGTCAACTTGCAGATTTGAAAATAAGGGACCAGCAGCCTCGAAAATAAGGGATCAGCAGCCAAAATAAAGGATTTTGCTTAACTTATACAGAAATCCGGCACTGATGGAGCCAGGCTGCTTTTGCTACGACTGACTGTGTTTTGCAGGGGATTGGACTAGATGACCCTAAGGGCCTACAACTCTGACCAAAGAAGAGTGGCAGACAAAACTGATGAACGACGTCGAGATGGCAAAGCTTACAGGCAGAATTAGAAACCAGGAAGAGGACCTCTTTAATAAAGAATGGGGAAAGTTTATAATTGATTTGAAAAGCTATTGGAAAGAGTGACATACATTGGTAGGATTGTCAGAAAACTTGTAGTAAAAATTTGAACTATGGATGGACAAATGATTTATAAAAATAGAGTTATGAAAGGGATGCAGAGGGGAAAACCAGTACATTAAGATGCTGAACTGGTTGGAGGGTATGCTAAGCAGCATGTCGGGGCTGCCGTCGTCCTGGCGTGAGGAGTTCCATTGGCCTTTCCCTGCCCGAGAGGGAGGGAAGGAGAGAGACTCTCGCCCACGCCGCCCGTGAGCCCGGCATGAGGCGCTTGCGGCGGCGCCACGGCCGCTGAAGCGCCGCCCTTCTGCGTCCCTCCCCATCCCCTCCTCTTCTTCCTCCCTCAGGCCACCTCCTCAGCTGCCGCCTCCGGCTTCCCCTGGCAGCACAGTGGAAATCTCGCAAGAGAGGGGCTGCCCGCCCGCCCGCAGCCACCCGTCTGCTCACGACGCGCCCCTGAGGGGGAAAATGGAGAGACGGAGACGCGACAGCTCGTGTGCAATCTCTCTCGCGGTGGAGGACTCCGAGCTGCTGCTTCCCTCCCGAGCCGGGCGAGCATGAAACCCGGGAAATTTAAGGGACATCATCAATAAGGGGCAGCAGCGGGACACGGTGCTGGGATAAGGGAGTTTCCCACCAAATAAGGGACGGTTGACAGCTATGACACACATCCCTTCAGGAGAGAATTGCTTTTACTGAGGCTCAAAGAGAGAAGCGTGGAAAAGCGGGCACACAACATGCCCAGAATACAAAACAAAACACAACAGGTTGCCTGATAGCGGAGGCTCCCAGCTGTGGGGAACGGGTGTGTCCTAAAGAATTTCCTGTCCTTTCGCTATTGTTCCCGAAATCAATCCTGGGCGAGTCTTTCCTACCACCCCATTAACAGCAGCCATGCCCTTCCTCTAAAAGATGCCAGATTACAGACTGCAAACCCTCCAGAACAGGGAAGTCAGAGCAGGGGTATGTAAAGTAAAAATGTATAGGGCCTTTTCTTTAATTAAACACCCCCCCCCCCCAATTTACTTATGATGAAGGATTTGGCACAATATGCCCTGCGGTGTTGCGCTATCCGCAAAGACAGGCCAGCTGACTTGGAAGCCAACAAATTTTGTGCCCCATTAACACAACAGAAAGAGAAGACGGTGCGAGGCACACCAAAAAAACCCCTTGTTTCTTATCCACAGTGTTAACCACCGGTGGGTGAGATGGGGCTAGGTACATTTTGAGAAATCTCCAGCCTCATTTCCTCGCGAAAGTGAGGAGAAGGGACCGGGTTGAATAGAATTCAGTTTATTTTGTTGCAATGAAATGCGTGTAGCCTCGGTTTCCTCTTCTGTAGGCTCAGACATGTTTAGAACAGTTTTAAACAAAAGACCTTACAAACTACAAACCGAAATCCAGTATGCATAATATGGTAGGTCTCTGACCCATCTGATGTGAAACCTCTGCAATCGTATCCGAATCAGAGAGCACTGGATTGGGACCAATATTCATACAGTAATTTTATTGGTGCTTAATGACTACCCAAGCCTCGCTTTGCTTCTCAAACAATGGCAGCCTTATTCCTTCCTTTGATGATAATCTACACACACACACACACACACACACACACACACACACACACAGCTGGTTTCCCACCACTGAGGCAAGTCTTCCTTTTTCTAAAAAAGAAAAAGGAGTTCCACCCTTCTCAAGAGAGGGGATGCCATTTGGACGAAATCACGCACCAAAAACGTGTGTGGGTGAAACGACAGACGATGGATGCCTTACCTTCCTCTGTTCAGTTTCCCAACACAACGCACACCGAGCGCAGGTGCGGCAAGTTGAGGCACGCACTACAATCCTCACACAACTCCAAAAGCACTGGGCGAGCCCCGGGACGTGGTTCTGCGAGCAGGTTCTGGGTCCATCGAGGGCAGAAGGCTCCTAAACCTTCCCGACGTTACCTTCGCTTTGCGCGAAGGTGTTTCTCCCACCGCCTCAGAGGCATTTTGCTTCCCAGTCGCTGCCCCTTCTCTCTGAAGTAGGAGAGCCACTCCTGCGAGCGGCCAGAAAGCCTGTTCGTGCGTGGCGGAAGGAGCACCGGCAAAGCGTGCGCCTCCGGTGTGCCGGGGCTGGCTCTGGCAGCGACTCAAGAGCTCTGAAGCTTGCAACGTGCTAAGAATAAGCTGGAGGCAAGCATCAGCCTTGCGCGCCCCTCCTACGGAAGCCCTGGGTGTGCCAGGCCTTCGTCACACCAGCAGTTTCCTCTTATTTCCAACCCAGAAACTGCTGTGTCGAGAGAGAGAGAGAGACGAGCGCACAAACATCCGCAGACCAGAAACATGCTGAATCGGAAACGGACTGGGATCGCTGCCAGCGACGCCTGCTCGCTTGGGTAGCCAAGGCCAGGAATTGGGGTGTGTGTGTGTGAGAGAGAGTGGGCTGGTGTCGCTCTAAGCTTCCCAGGGCTTTTGGGGAGGAGAACCCCGCGCCTCGCAGATTCTAAGTTTTCGCAACAAGTGGGGATTGTGAGAAAAGACAGTCTTGAGAAATGAAGCCAAAACTTCCGGGAGTCTTGGTTTTAGACCAAATCAGACCACTGGTCCATATAGATCAGCGTTGTCTGTCCTGGCTGCTAAGGGGTCTCCAGGTTTTCAGCGGCAGGGGTCTCTGGACCGAACCCAAGACTTCTTGTAAACCATGCATAGGATCATAAAATTGTACAGTCGCAAGGGACCCCTGAAGGTCCTCTAGTCCAACCCGCTGCAATGCAGGAATCTCAACTACCACTGTTCGTTATCATAACTGTTCAGCGAAGTTTTTAATATTTAATGCTGTACTGTTTTTAACACTTGATTGGGAGCCGCCCAGAGTGGCTGGGGAAACTCAGCCAGATGGGCGGGGTATAAATAATAATAATAATAATAATAATAATAATAATAATAATAATTGCTGTCAAACTCATTTCAGGTAGGAAAGGATCCTGTTTTTACAGTTGTATTTTTTGCGGGAGATGTATTTTTGAGATCACAGAATCCTAGAGTTGGAAGGGACCCTAAGAGTAATTCCCCCCCCCTTTAGAATTATTTTATTAAATCATAAATGTACAACCGCTTAACTCTACACACACACTTAAATTTTTAAAAGGAAAACGTTACGTCTTATTACACTATGATCCTGGCTAATAGCTTTTCAAAACTTTGAGAAAACTCTTTAAAAAAAGGTTTCACAGAAGTAAGAGAACAGCTTCAGGTTTTCGAATAACATCGTTAAGGAAACTTATCTCAGTCGTGCATAAATATGCAGTGATATGGCAGAAGACACCAGAGCTGATGCACAGAGCCATTTTGTGAATGGATTGGATTATTTAATAACATACCTTACTGTGGAGGAAGGATTGTAAAAATGCCTTTGAGGCAGTTTCTTAGCTTTGAAATTTTTGTTTCTTTCTAATGGTCTTTGTAAGATTGCAGAAGCATTCCTTTGATAATGTTAAATTTGTAAGTTTCAGGGACCCTAAGAGTCATCTAGTCCACCCCCCCAGCAACGCAGCAATCACAACAAAAGCATCCATGACACATGGCCACCCAACATCTGCTTATAAACCTCCAAGGAAGGAGAGTCCACAACCTCCCGAGGGAGACAGTTCCACTGTCCAACAGCTCTGACTGTCAGAAAGCTCTGACTAATGTTCAGCCGGAATCTCCTTGTAATCTGAATCCATCGGTTCAGGTCCTATCCTTCGAACCAGCAGGGAACAAGCATGCTCCATCTTCCGTGTGACGGTCTTGAGATATTTGAAGATGGCTGTCATATCACCTCTCAGTTTCCTCTTCTCCACGCTAAACATGCCCTGCTCCATTCCTCTTACAGGGCTCTCCTACAATGCAAATTCTCCCCTACTAGACCTTCCCAAACAGAAAAACCCACCTGAGACTCTGAAAATCTCCCCACACTTGGAAACGCCCCCCCCCAACGTATTTATTCCTGCTTTCCTTTTTCCGGAACCCCTACCAGCTTGCCGCCAACGTGTTGCTTTGACGAGCCGGCGAATTATAAATTTGGAAATCTGCAAACCCGTAGCTTAGGAAGAGCTGCGTGCTGAGATACCTGGGCTTGGTTAAAGGAAGAAGCAATTTTGAAAGCAGCTTTAAGAAGGCATCGCCCGTCCATGCAGGAACCTCCTGTTGCAGGAAGTACAAAGCGTTCGTCCGAGGGTGGTGGGGAAAGAGGCTTGGGAAAATTGCTGGCTAAAGTTCTGCAAGAGGAGGAAGTGAACAAAACCAGTCCCTGGAGTTTGATTTCTCATACGTGAGGCTTACCTTTCCGAAGAGGAGAACCTCCAGGTTGCCCAAACGCCTCTTGCAGCCAGATTTTCGCCCTGCTGAGGACTGCTCAGTCCCCCTTCGAAGAGGCTGCCGGCTAAGCCCGTGGCGTGATCTGCCTGACAGCTCTTGTTTTGCAACGCTTACCTTCGGCAGGGTCATCGGCTGCTTAGCACCGGGTGCACAGAGCCTCAAAATAGAACACAAGGGCTAAGCACATAAGTAAACGGGAACAGGGCAGCTGAATGATGCAAGGGACACGGCAGCCGGGGGGATGGACGGACGGACAGACAAGAGAGTGAATCTTTGTCAATCTCTCCCCCTCCCTTTGCACAAAACAGCAGCAGCAACGAAAAAGGAGAAGGCAACTTTTTTCTTATAAAGAGAGTTCCATGTTGTTGTTGCTGCTGCTACAGGCTACTTCCTGATCCTGGCAACTTTGCATTTTGGTGGGTGCCTGTGAGAGGCGGCCGATAAAGGCTTCAGAACGTGGCAGGCCGGCGAATGCCCAAGGAGACCCCCTTTCCACTTTTGCAGCCCTTGGGAAATATTATTGTTGATATGTGTTTCTAAATCCCATTAGCTCTTAAGGGCAAGCCCTGCTCATCTGGTTCACCCTTGCTACCAGTGTAGGTCATGTTAAATCTACACAAACACACACACCACCAACAACTGACACAAGCCAAAGCTCTAAGCTTGAAGCCCCACACACAAAGCCCCTGTCTGCACATTGTTCCAACTTGGATGGCGTTAACGCAGCGATGCTGCTTAGATTTGGAAACCGAGGCGCGCAATTCAGCATCCTGGGAGCTAGACTGGTGACTGGGAGTGGCCGCCGGGACCACATAACACCGGTCCTGAGAGATCTGCATTGCCTCCCAGTACATTTCCGAGCACAATTCAAAGTGCTGGTGCTGACCTTTAAAGCCCTAAACGGCCTCGGTCCAGTATTCCTGAAGGAGCGTCTCCACCCTCATCGTTCAGCCCGGATACTGAGATCCAGCGCTGAGGGCCTTCTGGCAGTTCCCTCATTGCGAGAAGTGAGGTTACAGGGAACCAGACAGAGGGCCTTCTCGGTAGTGGCGCCCACCATGTGGAACGCCCTCCCTTCAGATGTGAAGAAAATAACCAGCTATCCTATCTTTAAAAGACATCTGAAGGCAGCCCTGTTCATGGAAGTTCTTAATATTTAATGCTGTACTGTTTTTAACATTTGATTGGGAGCCGCCCAGAGTGGCTGGGGAAACTCAGCCAGATGGGCGGGGTATAAATAATAAATTATTATTATTATTGTTTATTACTATCCACCTCTTTTTTTAGCATTGGAAAAATGGCTTTGAAAACCTACAGACAACGCTTAGTAGGATCTCAGAAGCCAGGTCCGGGGTGTGTGTGTGTGTGTGTGTGTGTGTGTGTGTGTGTACATTTGCATCAGCATTTGTTTGCAGGGAGAGGGAGTGTTTCAGCGCTGCACAAATCTAACTGCCCTCTTCTGTGACTAAAAAGAAAATCTTGCAAATGAAGCTTACTCGTGCAGATATGCTTATTTTAGGTAACGCGTACGGGTCACGAGCAAATTCAGTGTTTCCCGGTGCAAAGATGAGCTCTGTGTTTGTGCATGTAAAATGTGAGAAGGCATGAGCATGCCTGAGCGCGCATGCGCACACACACAAACTGTTCCACCAGCGGTCTCTAGAGTTATCCGTTCCCAGCAAGGCTGCATCCATATCCCATTTTACAGTAATTATGAGAGGTGCTTATAACAACTACGGTACCTTGGAGAGTTTTACAGCAGCGATAGTAATGGAAAACCACTATTAAAAAATGCAAGCAGTCACTCCCAGCGGTGCTATACCATCACCTCTGGCAACTTAGGAATAATGTTGATAACCAGCAAGCCCCAGGGGCATAAAGGACTTATAATGCTAAGGAAGAAATTATCCCTTGACCCGTAGCTCTTGATGATGTGATTAAACAGTTCTAAAGTGCAGGGGGGAGCAAGTCGGGCGAGAAGTTCTGGTACCCCCCTTGGGAGAGAGGGGAGCAAAGCGAAGCTGCTTGGCCCGGGGTCTATTTATAACCCTAAATCACATTACGCAGAACCGCCAGAGCCAGGATGCAGCCGCTGGGCTTTGAAGGACATACCCTCATATCCTGTGCAAACTTCTCAGGGCTGTTTGATAAACATCGGCGAGCTCCTCTCTCGCGACGGACACCTGCTCCACATCTGCTTGGTGCACACATCTGGCTTTTGTTTTCAAGATGGCAAGGGGGGAAAAACCGTTGGGAGGAAGATTGCTTCGACTTTACGAAAACACTTAAAAGAAGCTAAGAGCAGCCCTGTTCGCTTAGACCGAATAAAATCCACTTGGTTCAGCATCCTGTTCCCACCACAACCCCCCCCCCCATAGCGGGCAAGCCTATCCGGAAGCCAAGAAGAAAAGCACAAAGGGGACGCTGTTCCCTCTTTGCTGTGCCCAGAATTGGAGAGCTGGAAGGGACCTCCAAAGGTCACGTAGCTCAACCCCCTACTGCCTATAATCCAACTGTGTATGGGTTCTCACATGCATGCAGCCTCCTGAAAATCCAAGTGCGCTTGCACAGACCAGTGGACAAACCCGCTTTGAAAACTTCACCAGGTAGATAAAAACAGGAAACAGAGCGCTAGTTGGCTCAGCCGCCAGCCTCTCCAGATTTGGAAAGGGTTAATTTGCTCCTTCACCAACCTAATTTCATCTGGGGCAGCCTCTGTTCTTTTTCCAGCCAGCCTGCCCCCCATACAGATGTATGGGGTTTCGTAATCCCAGCCAAACCAACAAGCGCCCCTTTCCCCACAGGGCTAAGCCTGCAATCATTCCGCTGACAGTTCTATCGGTCACAGAATGCCCACAAACATTTCAACATCACTTGCGGTGCAACAAACCAACATCCGAACGCTTCAACGCCGGCAATATGAACACTGCGCAGGCGGGCACAAAACACACACACACACATACAGGCAGGCCAACAATGACGCCAGCTCACCACCTGCCAAGCTATTATTCATCTGGCAGCTCTCTGCGCGCATCACAGAAGGAGTAAGCGCTCAGGAAGATTTAGGGAAGGATCACAGGGAGATCAAACTCTTAACCGACTTGATCCAGATTTCAAACACATCGAAAGCTACTGGAGTGGAAAAGGCTACAGAGACACCTTCTCCGCACCGTTCTCTGGGGAGAATTTCACCCTGAAACGTGGACTGGGGACACCGGGGAATGCACGGCACATGTGTTTCTTTGCACTGCGTACATTGCGCAGTGACTCAGGGTATTTCAGTGCAATATACTCTGAAATGGAGCAAACTGCATGACTGGTCCCTTCTGTAGGTTACAGAACAAATATCCTCCTGTTAGCTGTCACATTTCCTGCGGAAAACCAGGAAGCTGTCTGCTAATGGGAAGCAGTGTTCGAAACTCCCATTGTTCCAGGCGCATTTTGCAGCAGGGAATTTCATTAGCGCGAGCCGTTTCTGAGCTCTGGGCTCAGTACTGCGCCTAAGATTTCAGATTAAAATTGCAGAGTGGAAGGAAAGGAGGACCTTTTCCTGCCTCCCTACTTCCAGCTGCTCTCTGAAGACTGGAGTAAAGACCCTCTTAAGAATACAGTGGTACCTCGGGTTACAGATGCTTCAGGTTACAGACTCCGCTAACCCAGAAATAGTACCTCAGGTTAAGAACTTTGCTTCAGGATGAGAACAGAAATCGCGCATCAGCCTGTGTACCAGATGGAGCTGATGAACAGCTGCCCTGGACACAGAATTAACCTGTGCCTCCATGGACAGCTCTGAGTCCAAAATGACTCCCAGGCTGCGCACCTGGTCCTTCAGGGGCACAGTTACCCCATTCAGGACCAGGGAGTCCTCCGCACCTGCCTGCCTCCTGTCCCCCCAAAACAGTACTTCTGTCTTGTAAGGATTCAACCTCAATCTGTTAGCCACCATCCATCCTACAACCGCCTCCAGACACTCACATAGGACCTTCACCGCCTTCACTGGTTCTGATTTAAAAGAGAGGTAGAGCTGGGTACCATCCGCATACTGATGAACACCTAGCACAAACCTACTGATGATCTCTCCCAGCGGCTGCATGTAGATGTTGAAAAGCATGGGGGAGAGGACAGAACCCTGAGGCACCCTGCAAGTGAGAGCCCAGGGGTCTCAGGGGTTTCACACAGTGGAGTCTGGGAGATATTCTAGGGTTCATGAGCAGCTTACACAAAGGCCTAGCCTTTCATGTCTCCTCACTACTACCCCATGTGAACTCTGCATGAATCCTGCAACATGCACAAAAAACGCAAGTGTGCACTGACGGGGGAAAAGCTTGCAGTGGCACGGAAGATGTTGATTTCTCGTTTCTCTCCGGACATGTGGCCATCGAGATCAATACCTTTTAAACATTTGCAGAAAATTATGGTGCTCATCATCAGCACCAAAGCCTTCCCTGCTGAGCCCTGTTCCCACCAACCAGTTCCGAAGTTCGGAGACAGAAATCTGGAGGATCAGAAAGGAAACATATGAAGGTACTGGAATATTTTAGCCCTGGAGGTCTGGACCAGTTTGAACATGGCTGAGAGGAACCCATTCTGCCTGCCTGCAGAAAAAGCTTTTCATCAAAGGCTGGAGGAAAACTCACCACCTGGAAGACAGGTAGGGACTGCCCCTGTTTTGCATGCAGAAGAACAAGTTTCTGGCAGAGTCAGGAGGAAAACTGAGGACCGCGAACCCTGTGCTTTGTCGCGAAAGGCATTGGGGAACTCAACACAAAGGGACGTGTGTGTTACTTCACACAACGCATTAGGATTAAGAAATCCAAAAGCATCTAAGAATCTCAGAGGACATGAACTATTTGAAAAGTAATTGTGATGAACAGATTACGCTAGTAGGACTGCAAGAAGTTTTGCAAGGTGGATTATCTGAAATATTACAAGAAAGAATTATTAGTTAAGGACAACTGAATGCAATGTAGAAACCAAGAAATGCAGAATAAGTGATAAAAACGGAAAATCATCAGAGGCGTTGACGGAAGTCTAAAACATTGTATAAGATGAGAAGTTATGTTGTAGGAGTGTTTGAACTGGTATGCTAAAAAATTAATAAAAATGTATTTTTAAAAGAAAGAAAGAAAGAAGAGAAATCCAAAAGAAGGTTCATCTAGGGCAGCTGGAAGTTTCTGCACGGATCAAAAAAAGTCCTTCTTCACGCAGCTCTTAGTTCAACTATGGAACTCACTTCCTCAGGAGGCAGTGGTGGTTTGAAAAGATAAGACAAATTCTCTATTAGCAATGGCGGCTATGCTCTTGTCTCCACAGTTGGAGGCAGTGATGCTTCTGTTGGGAACTACAGGTGCAGAGAATGCTCTTGCGCTAGGATCCGGCATGTGGGTTTCTCACAAGGCATCTGGTTGGACACTGTGAGAACAGGATGGCCAATGCTCTGATTCAGTAGGAGGGAGAATCCTAGTTTCTTTCTATGCACAGCAGTGATGCTGCAACATACAGTTCACCGGACCATACTGCCTGGGACAGCCATAGGCATAGATCCCTGCAACTCTCCCAAAATAATAATAATAATAATAATAAAATTCCTTCCAGTAGCACCTTAGAGACCAACTACGTTTGTTATTGGTATGAGCTTTCGTGAGCATGCCAACCAACTCTCCCAGTTTGAGATCCAGCAGCTCCTGCTTGGGGAACTGGATGCCAGTGTTAAATCCTGAACAGTAAACAATGCTCAGTTTGACAGGTGAGGCGTGGGAACGCCAGCAGCCCCAGAGAGCATGACGCCACCTTGCACCTTGGCGGTGGATGACTTGAGCCTCAAAGGCCACCCTGGAAACTAATCGTCAGCCTGACAGCTGCTGCAGATGTCTGCATGTCCCTGTAAACAGAGGCAGCCTCGCTGGAATAATTGTAAGGTGATGGCTGTCTAGGCTTTGCACCAAGGATATAGAGGGTATCAGTGACGCTCGGCAGTTTGCAGAAGGAGCTATAAAGCTGTTGCCTTCTAACGTACAAACGTTGGTGATGACTTTCGCTGGGTCCATCCAAGGTTCACGCGGGTGCCTCTGAACGAGGCGGAAGAAGGAACTTAAACCACATCAGATTGCAATTAGGGGAGATATATAATAATAACGGGACGCTGGTGGAGCTGTGGGTTAAACCACAGAGCCTAGGGCCTGCCGATCAGAAGGTCGGCGGTTCGAATCCCCGCGACCAGGTGAGCTCCCGTTGTTCGATCCCTGATCTCGCCAACCTAGCACTTCAAAAGCACGATGTGCAAGTAGATAAATGGGTACAGCTCCGGTAAACGGCGTTTCCATGCACTGCTCTGGTTCGCCAGAAGGGGCTTAATTATGCTGGCCACATGACCCAGAAGCTGTACGCCGGCTCCCTCGGCCGATAAAGCGAGATGAGCGCTGCAACCCCAGAGTCGTCCACGACTGGACCTAATGGTTAGGGGTCCCTTTACCTTTACCATAATAATAATAATAATAATAATAATAATAATAATAATATATTTATACCCCACCCATCTGGCTGGGTTTCCCCGCCACTCTGGACAGCTCCCAACAGAATTAAAAGCACAATAAAACATCAAACAGTAAGAACTTCCCTAAACAGGGCTGCCTTCAGATGTCTTCTAAAAGTCAGATGGTTGTCTATTTCCTTGACATCTGATGGGAGGGCGTTCCACAAGGAGGGTGCCACTACTGAAAAGGCCCTCTGCCTGGTTCCGTGACTTCGTTTCTCACGGTGAGGGAACCGCCAGAAGGGTCTCAATGCTGGACCTCAGTGTCTGGGCTGAACGATGCGGGTAGAGACATTCCTTAAGGTAAACTGGGTCGAGGCCGTTTAGGGCTTTAAAGGACAGCACCAACACTTTGAATTGTGCTCCGAAACGTACTGGGAGCCAATGTAGGTCTTTCAGGGACCGGTGTTATATGGTCTCGGCAGCCACTCTCAGTCACCAGTCTAGCTGCCGCATTCTGGATTAGTTCTAGTTTCTGGGACACCTTCAAAGGAAGCCCCATGTAGAGCACATATATATTTAAATGAACCCCCAAAACAACCGGGTGAAAGTTTCCATCCCAGCTTCTTCCTTGCAATGCTCTATGGTCTGCAAGGTCCCTCCAAACTCTAAAAATTATTTGATTCTATACTTGCAGGGAGGAATGACTGTTTTTAACTTACTGTGTTCCTATAACAGAGCAAGATCAACTATTCTGTTCTTAATAGCAAACAGATGGGTACAGCAGTGTACATTTACTGCTTTGAACACAAAAGGGTCCAGGAGGCTGGTTTCTTTGGAAAACACAGCCCAATGATGCAAGAGGAAGTTTACCATTGTGCCAGTCTTGCTTTAAAAAGTGTAAGTTCATGCATCACGGTAAGCTATGAACCACGGTTTACTGTACGCCAGGAAACTGAATCTGCTCAGCTTCTTGCGTCTGGGAGGAGGAAACAAACCGCGATGCCAGGCTTAGCGATATGCCCAGAGGAAGGATTATGACCTGTAGCCAAGGTGTGTTCTTGGCTTAATGATAGTGGGGTTGTTGGAAGGGGGTACGAACCAGAACCCCCCTGGCTCAGACACAAGGCTGAAGTCAGGCATTGTGGTTTCTGAAAAGCCCCGGTGATGTGTGTTCACAGTAAACCGTGAACTGTTAGTGTGATGTGGGCTCTGGTAAGGTTTTTTAGGCAAATGAGAAGGTTACGTACTAAAAGAAAACAGGGTTCAGGCCAAGGTTAGCTTACTAGCAAATTCCAGAGTCAGCACGCAATTCTTAAATGCAGGACAGGATGAGAGTCGCCACACACAAATTACATCAACCCCTTCAGAGCCTAGAAATTACTATTAATATATTTTTATTTATATCCCCACCTTTTCCCTGGACAGGGACTGAAGGTGGCTTACAGATACAGTGGTACCTCGGGTTACAGACTCTTCAGGTTACAGACTCCACCAACCCAGAAATAGTACCGCGGGTTAAGAACTTTGCTTCAGGATGAGAACAGAAATCGAACGATGGCAGCGTGGTAGCAGCAGGAGGCCCAGTTAGCTAAAGTGATACCTCAGGTTAAGAACAGTTTCAGGTTAAGAACGGACCTCCAGAAGGAATTAAGTTCTTAACCTGAGGTACCACTGTAAAAGAAAGAAGAGCTAAAAACATAGGGGTGAAAAACCATTAATTGAAAAGCAATTAAGTCACGTTCCTTGCACTTTTGCCTTTCGGGACACACAAGCAAGACGGAAAATTTAAGCTCCTTTTTTTTATCCTGCTACTGCCAGGAGGTGTTATGCATTTCATGTAATCTTGTTATGTTTATTTTGCCGAAACATTGGGCTTTTTTTTTGAGGGGGGGGTCTCTTTGTCGTATTTGCTGTTGTGTTGTTCTACAGAACAACCCGTGTGTTGCAAATATATTCACCAATGTATTTGAAATCAATTGAACACACGCCTGTCAATCTTTGAAAGTCCGCAGAAGTATAATAATATATTAGAGAATTTACAAGTGCACACAGTTTGTTTTTGTTACGAAATTACATATATTATGCACTAAGAATTACAGTGCTATTTAGTATACTGGTCTGTGTGTTGCCTGTATTGTTTGTTGTGTTGTTCTACAGATGCTCAAACAGCCTTGCCCCAGCCTGACACTGCACAAGTGCTTTTGCCTTCAACTATCGTCAGCCCCAGCCTGTTGCCGTCGGAATCTCTCATAAAAGCCTGTGAGATTCTGGCAACAACAGGACAATTTTATGCCTCCTGATTTATACAGGCACAAGCAGTAATTTTCAGGTACGGACCAAGTGAAACGCCAGGAAATGCCGAGCCTTTCATTTTCTCCTTAACGAAAGGCCCCGGCAACAGACAGGCTGCTATTAAGTTTTGCCGCGAGCTCCTTTTCCAGAACCCTCAAATTGGCCGTAACTCCGGAAGCCGCGAGCAGGACGGGACAGGGGAGAGGGAGTGCCATCTAAAAGCAGCCCGCTCACCCTGTAAAAAAAGCAGCCCGCTCACCCTGTAAAAAAAGGTAAAGGGACCCCTGACCATTAGGTCCAGTCGTGGCCGACTCTGGGGTTGCAGCGCTTATCTCGCTTTACTGGCCAAGGCAGCCAGCATACAGCTTCCGGGTCATGTGGCCAGCATGACTAAACCGCTTCTGGCGAACCAGAGCAGCGCACGGAAACGCCGTTTACCTTCCCGCTGGAGCGGTACCTATTTATCTACTTGCACTTTGACGTGCTTTCGAACTGCTAGGTGGGCAGGAGCAAGGACCGAGCAACGGGAATTCACCCCGTCTTGGGGATTCGAACCGCCAACCCTCTGATCGGCAAGTCCTAGGCTCTGTGGTTCAACCCACAGCGCCACCCGCGTCCCCTCTGTGGGAGTATATTGTATTTAAAAATGGGGTATCAGAGTTTTTAGGCGGCTAACCAGGTTGGGATAGCTGGGATAGCAGGCTTATTGGTTTTTGAATTGTCTTATGTAGATTTTTCAATTTCGTTGTTCTGTATGGGACAATGACAATAAAGATTGGTTGGCAGGAGCAGGGACTGAACAACGGGAGCTCACCCCGTCACGAGGATTCGAACCGCCGACCTTCCGATCGGCAAACCCAAGGCTCAGTGGTTTACACCACAGTGCCATCCGCGCCCCTAGAACAAACTTAGTTGGTCTCTAAGGTGCTACTGGACATTATTTATTTATTTAACCCTACTTTAGAGACCACACAAACGTCACAATGCCAAACAGTCGTCGTCATTCCTCACACAAACTCTCCCCACCAACAAAGGAGCTGTGGATCCACTTTTAGAACAACCTGTAACCAATTCAGATGGAAGATAGTTGTTCAACAAACCCACTGTGCGTGTTATGGAGCGAAAAATATGGCAAATTCCTACACTGCAGGGGGTTGGACTAGAAACCCCCCAGGGTCCCTTCCCATTCTGCATTCCAATGATTCTATATGTGCTGCAGCTGAGAATAACTGAGATTCCTAGCCAGAGCTGTGTGTACTCTGATAAAAGCAAAACAACAACAACAGCAGCAGCCAGGCATCCATTTCTTGCCACAAGGCTGACCATGTTAATCTCACTTAACTCCCTGCACCCAGCGGATGAGAAAAAAAATCAAGAAAATGTAGAACTCTGGGGAGTTAACAGAAAATGCCTAGGACAAGACCAAAGGGTGAATCTTCAGTTTTCAACTTCCTGGAGAAGTCTGGGAAGAGTTCCAATTCCTAGCACCCCAAACTAAAGCTCCCAGGTGTTTGGTGCTTTTTTCCCCCCCTTAGAGGGGTGGGAGGCCTAAAGGAGGAAAGCCTCATCCCCACACTTCCATGAATGGCAGAGCAGTCAGGAAAGGGGGCAGAAGGCAACCAGGGGGTGGGCATCTTGCCAAAAGCATAACCTGCAAATCAACCTAGATTTGGGTGCTCCTAAGCCATCGAATTGCCAACAAAGGTCCGTATAGTTCAAGCTATGGTTTTCCCAGTAGTGATGTATGGAAGTGAGAGCTGGACCATAAAGAAGGCTGATCGCCAAAGAATTGATGCTTTTGAATTCTGGTGCTGGAGGAGACTCTTGAGAGTCCCATGGACTGCAAGAAGATCAAACCTCTCCATTCTGAAGGAAATCAGCCCTGAGTGCTCACTGGATGGACAGATCCTGAAGCTGAGGCTCCAAGACTTTGGCTACCTCATGAGAAGAGAAGACTCCCTGGAAAAGACCCTGATAAGATGGAGGGCACAAGGAGAAGGGGACAACAGAGGACGAGATGGTTGGATGGTGTTCTCGAAGCTACCAGCATGAGTTTGACCAAACTGTGGAAGGCGGTGGAGGACAGGAGTGCCTGGCGTGCTCTGGTCCGTGGGGTCATGAAGAGTCGGATACGACTAAACAACAACGACGAAAGCCATCGAATCTAGAGCACAGCTGGCGGGCGGCCAGCGGCATTAGCTCTCTCTTTCACCTCGCCCAGGTACAGCCGCATCTTGCAAAAATCCTAGGATTAGATTGCTCACTGGAGATTAAACTGTTGTGTCACAGCACGTCTGCTCATTCCTACTTGAGCTCCGATTCCCCTTCCTCTCGAAGATGGCCTCCTTTGAGATGAAAGATTTATCACCCTAAATCTGTCACACCCCAGTCTGGGAGCTGCATCCTACTCAGGGTGGATATGATTTTTTTGTTTAAAAAAAATCAGATTTTTGTTAATCAGATTTTTTTGATTTAAATTGGATTTTTAAAATAAAATGCTTTTGCAGGAAAAATCTTTCTAAAGATAGTTTTCTATTTAGGTTGCATTATAGTCCAAAGGCTATACATCAGGAAATAAGGATTTGTTTTAAGATTTAAGACTCTAGGCTAGGGTTTTTGTTTTTTTTTGTTTTTAAAGTTTAACCACATCAGTTAACAAACATGGATGCATATGCTATAATGTTATTGTTTTAGTTAAATTGTTTAACATGTTACTAAGGATTATATTTCTCCTTCCAATAAAGTACAGCAGAAAAGTTGTCCAAATAAAAACAGTTAACTTATTAAACCTCACAATAATTTCATAATTACATCAATATAATTCTAGTAGCATAACCAAATCAGTAATTTTTGATGTAACCGTAAAAGCTACTCTGCAAATTTATTATTCCAAAAATGAAACCTTCATCTGGTTGCACATATTAAGATTATACAGTGGATGCTAGGGTCGCAAACGTGATCCGTGTGGGATGCACATCCGCAACCCGCAGCAGCGTGTCTGCGCATGCTGTGATTCGGTGCATGTGCAAAGCGCAATTTAGCGCTTCTGCGCATGCGTGACTGCTGAAACCCAGAAGTAGCCCGTTCTGGTACTTCCGGGTTTCGGCAACCTGAAAAAACGCAACCTGAAGCATCTGTAACCCGAGGTATGACTGTACCAGCAAAAAAAAAAAAATTTAGCCAAGTCTTACTGACTAGTGATTTAAATCGATTTGATTTCAATCAAATCCTCCCTGATCCTATTTCTCGCCCGGGTGCAGGGAAAACTGAGCCACCTTGGCAAACTTCGCCTCAACCCCATCTCAAGACACAGCCTGGAGTTCACCTTTCGTTGTAGGATGGCTGCTGCGTTACAAGGCCAGAAAAGTAATAAGTTACAGCAACATCCTTCCTTTCCCCCTCCATCCTGCTGTAAGAAAAAGATACCGTGCTGCTGGAGAAGGTTCAGAAAAGGGCCACCAAAACGACCAATCGTCTGGAACATGGGTAGGCAAACTAAGGCCTGGGGCCCGGATCCGGCCCAATCGCCTTCTAAATCTGGCCCGCGGACGGTCCGGGAATCAGCGTGTTTTTACATGAGTAGAATGTGTCTTTTTATTTAAAATGCATCTCTGGGTTATTCGTGGGGCCTGCCTGGTGTTTCTACATGAGCAGAATGTGTGCTTTTATTTCTGTAAAAAAAATGATTTAAATCCAGTCTTACTGACTAGTGATTTAAATTGATTTGATTTAAATCAAATCCACCCTGCTGTACACCCAGATGAGACCTACATGGACAACAACAATTAAGGCGGCATTTTATTTAATCTTTTCTTGCTGGCACAACTTACTCTGTTGTTGTTCAGTCTGTCAAAGGGGTGAGGAGTTCTGGAGGGGGAGAAATGGGTCCTGCCTCCAGCTATGAATAAACTTAATTCAGGTGCCCTCTCGACTTCTGCGGTTTACCACAGGTTGCCTACACGTTCCCCAAATATAGCAATCGCGATTAAGGCGAAAGATGGCCGGTTCTTAATTTAGGGGACTTGGGGCAATTGGCGGTTCCTGCAACAGTTCCTCCCACATCACTCTGTTCATGCAAAAATTCAGAAGCCTTGCGAGAAGATCCACACTGACTCTCTTTGCTACCTCTTCCTCTTTGCCCTGCATTCCGGTCTGCTTTTATCAATAATAATAATACCACACCCATCTGGCTGGGTTTCCCCAGCCACTCTGGGCGGCTTCCCGCAAAGTATTAAAATACAATAATTCATCAAATATTAAAAGCTTCCCTAAACAGAGCTGCCTTCAGATGTCTTCTAAAAGTCAGATAGCTGTTTATTTCCTTGGCATCTGATAGGAGGGTGTTCCACAGGGCAGGCGCCACTACCCAGAAGGCCCTGTAACTTGGCTTCTCGCAGTGATGGAACCGCCAGAAGGCCCTTGGCACTAGACCTCAGTATCCGGGCTGAACGATGGGGGTGGAGACGCTCCTTCAGGTATACTGGACCGAGGCCGTTTAGGGCTTTAAAGGTCAGCACCAACACTTTGAATTCTGCTCAGAAACATACTGGGAGCCAGTGTAGGTCTTTCAAGACCTGTGTTATGTGGTCTCGGCAGCCGCTCCCAGTCACCAATCTAGCTGCCGCATTCTGGATTAGTTGTAGTTTCCAGGTCACCTTCAAAGGTAGCCCCACACAGAGCACATTGCAGTAGTCCAAGCAGAAGATAACTAGAGCATGTACTACTCTGGGGAGACAGTCTGTGGGCAGATGGGGTCTCATCCTGCGTACCAGATGGAGCTGGTAAACAGCTGCCCTGGAAACAGAATTGACCTGTGCCTCCATGGACAGCTGTGAGTCCAAAATGACTCCCAGGCTGCGCACCTGGTCCTTCAGGGTCACAGTTACCCCATTCAAGGCCAGGGAGTCCTCCACACCCGCCCGCCTCCTGTCCCCCCAAAACAGTACTTCTGTCTTGTCAGGATTCAACCTCAATCTGTTAGCCACCATCCATCCTCCAACCGCCTCCAGGCACTCACACAGGACCTTCACTGCCTTCACTGGTTCCAATTTGAAAGAGAGGTAGAGCTGGGTATCATCCGCATACGGATGAACACCCAGCCCAAACCCCCCTGATGATCTCTCCCAGCGGCTGCATGTAGATGTTGAAAAGCATGGGGAAGAGGGCAGAACCCTGAGGCACCCCACAAGATGACCCTCGGGTCCTTTCCCCACTCCTCATTTCCACGATCTGTATGTTCTCAGGCTTTTGTTCACCGCGCTG